ACACACACACACACACACACACACACACACACACACACTGACATGCTTTCGTAAATGTTCAGTGTTAATTTTTCCAGTTTAAATGATAAAAAAAACATGCAAATAAATCAAATAATTAATTAAAAATATAAAATAAAGAATTACCTTGACTAGTTAGTTGTTAATGCTTAAATAGTTCATTTATTATTTAAATCTGGACTCTTTTAGGCTCCATAATAATAATAAGATCTGAAGCTAAGATAAACAACTAAAGTAACTGTCTTCACACATGCAGTTGTTTGAATGCTGCTTATTTATACACTATGTTTACATGAAAAGGATCACATTTCTTGCATGCTACTGAAGTCAACCACATGAAATGGTTGACTTTTCCCACAAACGCCAATGAACGTGTTTTATGAGATGAGATTTAGGAGGGATTCGTTTAGTTCTTATGTGTTCAAAACTGTGCAGTCATGGTAACTTGACTAAAAGGAAGAGCAGGAAAAGTGTTTGTTGTCTTTTTCTCATCTTTGCACACTCACTATGGCAGTAACCAGAGATTAATGATGTTGGGAAACTTTAAACACTTGAGAATGATTTTTAAACGTTTACATTTCATTCTGACCCCTTGCCTCCATAATCCTCATAGACTGTAGTTGCTAACATCCGAATGTAATTGATGTAGTTTAAAACAAAGCAGATTGCCGCCTGCTTATCAGTATATAAGAAAGCTGAACTCTCTTACTGTACTTCTTGAAACAATTTCAAAAGGATAAGAAAAGTGTAGATAATGGACTCTGTGCATGTGAAGTCTGTGAAAAGGGTTAAACAAATGATCGCTATTTGGTCCATTTTGTCTTCAGAGCTATTATGCTATTGAGAGCTACAGCAACTGCTGCAAGCTATTCTGTTTACACAGGAGGGAGAATGTTTCCATAAAGGATCTCAGACTACACTTAGGTGAGAGATTAACTGATTGTGAGGTCAAAGGCTACAGGGCAGAAGACACTGATGGTTATTGTGTGACAGAATGTCATTTGGACAATGTTCTACTATAATTAAAAAGAGACTGGCTATACCTTGGTGTTAATGAATAACTAAATGCAGTGGGCTCCAAAATGATCAGGATGTGTGAGACATAAAATCCAATTTAAAGGGGTCATATGATCTTGTTAAACAGAACATTATTTTGTGTATTTGGTGTAATGAAATGTGTTTAATGCGGTTTAAGGTTAAAAAAACATATTATTTTCCACATTCTGTACATTATTGTTTCTCCGCTATGCCCCGCCTTTCTGAAACGTGTCGATTTTTACAAAGCTCATCGGTCTGAAAAGCGAGGTGTGCTCTGATTGGCCAGCTATCCAGTGCATTGTGCATTGCGTGTGACGGAAATGTTACGCCCCTTGCCATACTGTGATGCCCTGTCCGGCCAGAGCGACGAGACAAAAATATTAAAACCCATTATAAACGAGGCAATTTTTGCATCCATTGGGGACATAATTACGGATTATAATGACTTATACTGTCTTTTTACGCATTGTGTTGCATCGCGCCGCGTAAACATAAAACCATGTCTGCATTTGTGATCGGAGAAATGACAAACAACAAGCGCTACTCTACACTGCTCAAAACTCGCGTTTGAATCGTCAGTGGCAAATCCTTTAAATATAAAAAACGTACTTACAGGCTGTGAGTCAGAACAGCCGGCATTGTAGTCTACTCTCTCAGGATCAGGAAACAGTCCTCCATAAAATGCGCTGGACACATCTGAATATTTGGGTTGAACTGTTCTGGAACAGTGTTGTAAATACAACTTAACCACTGATTTCTAGTCATGTCATCTTTTGGATGTCTTTCACAACGAAACAGCGTCACACACGGCGGGCTAGAGTGAGTGGAGGTCGGCGGGCTTGAGAACGGCGCGGCCGGCGGATTCGACGAAGGAGCGTCCGGAGGGCTTGCGGCAACCACATGTGACGACCCCGGGCTGGACTCCGCTTCGTCCACGGTGAAAGCCGATCCGGTGATCCACAGCGTGAAGTTGAAGTATTCCCTCAGCGACCAGCACGGATCAGCTCTAGGCATGACGAAGCGGATATCGTCATCTTTTTGAAGGCCAACCAAAGTAGTTTAGCTTTCACAACAAAACACACAGCGCCTTCACGACATGGCGGCAGCGGCAACAATACTACAGCGAGAATAAAAGTTACGCCTTCTTTCTTGGCGTGAACATTTGGGTGGCGTTATGCAAATCTTCCCACATAGTGATGTAGATAGGTGGGGGCGTGTTAGAACGAGCCGTTTTAGGTAGGCGTTGTTGACTCTTAACTTTTATAAAGAATATCTCTTTGGATTTGAGACTTTAGTCTTTGCAACTTTACAGATCTTCTTTATGCACCAAGAGCTTGTGACACTCCAAAGAGAAAGAAAAAATTGAAATCGCATCATATGACACCTTTAAAACTATTTTTAACTGCACTTTCTATTTATATGTGCATTTTAATAATTGCATGTAAGTTTTATAATTCATTTGCATTTGTATTTTTAAATGCATTTATCACACTGCAGACTATGCAGTGAACAGCAAAAACTAAAAAGATGCTTGAAAAAGAATGAAATCATTTTTTACTTCTTTGTACATTTGTTCGTTTTATTTTCCTATATTCTTACTGTATGTTAGATAACAGACATATTTTGTATTTAATGCACAACCATGTGAGTGAACCTTTAAATATGCAACAAATATAAACTTGTCACTTGAAAAATGGTGTCACAGCACCTAAAATATAGAGTTTTTTTGTGTTATCTTAAAAAATATTTGGCCCACATTATTTGCCAGCTACTTTTATGAGGATTTGTGAGAAATAAAACTACTTTAAACAACATTTTCAAGTTATTAAATAAATGCATTTGTATGACTTAATTTGGATAATTAATTAGTCTTTTCAAATGTGTTTATCACACTGCATAACTATGCAGTGAACAGCAAAAAGCTAAAATGTGCTTAATACAGAAAACAAAGAGTTTGCACTTAATCTTTCATTCTTTGTACATTAATAATTTCCTTTCTTATATTAGGTCAAATATTGTATTATTTTAAACATATTATGCACAATCATATGGGTAGGTAACATGTATGTGACAAATAAAAACTTGACAAAATATAGTTATTTTGAAGAAAAAAAGTTGTTTTTAAAGTCATATTTTATGAGTTCATATAAATTTGATAATTAATTTGTATATTTTTTAAGTGCATTTATCACATTACAGGACTATGCAGTAAACAGCAGCAAGCTAAAAGGTGATTAAAATATTTTATTTTTCAAATGCATGTATTCATTTATTTCTAGATCATTCTTTTGTTATATTAGATAACATACACATACATTTTACTATTTAATGCACAACCTTGTGGGTAGATAATGTGTACAGTATATGACAAATAAAAACTAGAAACAAAAGAAAAATGTTTTTTCTTTGGGCTATTTGGGAAAAAAAAAAAGTTTAGCCCATATTATTTTCCAGCTACCCATTCAGAGACACTTAGAAAATGATTTGACAGATCTTTGTGAACAAACATGCTATTTTTTCTCAGTGGCGTCATCTAGACACCCTTTGATGGAAGATCTCAATCTGTCATTATCTAATGGTGTGGTGCTGTGTGTCTGAGCGTAGATTGCTTCTCTTTGATCTCTGTCTGTTTGTGTTTGCCTCTCTTTTCTGATTGCCTCTGCATTTTTTGCTCTCTCCATGCCTAGCCTCTCTCCTCCTCCTCCCCAGAAGCCTCCGGAGCGGGACAATCCCACCTCCCTCCTCTGAGTTTCCACACAACACCCACCTCCTCCACTTCTCCCATCTCACTCCGCATGGGTGTCAATTAGACAGTTGCTGTGGAAAGCGGTGGAGTGAAAGAGAGAAGACAAACAGTTGTGGAGTGGCAAGTGCTGTGATTTCAGGTAAGAACTTGTCTGATTAACTGTGTTTGTGTGTGTGTTTGTTTGTGAGTGTGTAACAATGTCACTTTCTAGAGCTGTTGTTTTCATTCATGAGAGATGAAGGGTGAAATACTATAAAGAAGTTTAGTCAAGAAAAATAATGTTAACATTTAGATTAACCGATTGAAGATGACCAGTATATGTGTTTATTAGTCACATCTATTTTGTATAAATTTCTTCCAAATAAGAAATTTTGGCACATGGGAGAATTTATCTTACACTCTCAAAAATAAAGGTTTCAAAAGGAGGTTTTGGGTTCCACAAAGAACCTTTCAGTCAACAGTTAATAAAAGAATCATTTTGTTCTTTATTGGCATTGATGGTTCCATGAAGAATAGGTCAAATCTATAGAACCTTTTGGATTCAAATAAGTTCTCTATAGCGGAAAATAGTTCTTCAGATTATTAAAATGGTCCTCACACTAAGAAAAATGGTTCTTTTTAGAACTGGGGAACCAAAAATAGTTCCCCTTTTGGAATTTTAAGAGTGATTCTTAAAATAACCTTTTGGGACAATTCCATGGATGTTGAAGGTTCTTCATGAAACCATAAAATGCCAATAACTTAAGAGTGTAGACATTATTTTGAAATTTCTACCTCAAATAATGCTCTCTTTGTGAAATCTGTGAAACTATTTCTAAACTTCAAAATCTTTCATTTGTTTTTCATATGAGGCCGTAAGAAAGTTTGAATGATTTCCCAATGATTTTGACTGAATGAATCCTCAATTGGTCATACTGTAAGAGGAATAACTCTCAGAATATAGTCATTAACTTATCCAGGTGAAAGTCAAGTGTAAAGCATTCAAAATAAATCCCTGTCCACCTTATGAATGAAATCAGCATTTTTATTGAGATTTCTTTAAGCTTAGAATAACAATACTCCATACTCGTCTGTTTTTTTTCATCTGGGAGTCTTGCAAGCACTGAGAACGGTTGGTATGCTGCCAAATAGGGGCCAAAGCTGTTTAGAGAGCGAAGACGCGGCTCCGGCCTCCCCCTTTCCCTCTGCTCATCTTTGCTTTGGAAATAGTTGGCTGCTCGTTACCCTGTCATTAGCGAGATGAGAAGCAGTGCACAGCGCTGTGAGGAAAGGCAGCCGATTTCTGCTGGCTCCAGCCGGTGTCTCCAGTCAGTCCCAGCTGTACAGAAAGGCCACTTCTTCAGAGAGGAACGCACACTTTTTTTTCCCGTGTGACCCAGAGATTTGAGCTGTGCAGTGGAAGGAAATGATAGTTTGCATGGCCTCACCTTGTAAGAAGGACAGTTACATACCCTGTATTTCAAAAAATGATTTGCTTAATCAGTACCTTTATTTTGTTTTCCAGTACTGAAACATGCTTAATAAAAGATACAATTACTTGAGAGGTTTGTTTTTACAGAATTTCGAATTTTTATTTTTACACCACTTGTTCTTTTTTCTAAAATAGCAAAAACCTAGAAAAAATGTTATGCCTTATAATTTTATACATCATATATTATTCATATTTAATTATATTTGTAAGTCGCTTTGGATACAACAAGCGCTATATATAAAATATATATATATATATCATGCTAAGTATACTAGATTTTGATGTACTTAATAAAAAATACATTACAATTGTACTTTTGGTATACTAAACTGGTAAACTGAAAGTCTGCTAAATTGGAGCAACTAATTTTGTACTTAGAAGTAGTGCTACTAAAGATATACTGAAGTATATTTAATTGTGCTAAAGTGGAACTATTGCGAGTATACTTCAGGTACACTTTAAGACCGATATTATACAAAGATCATACAGTCCTCATCAATAGTGACATTAAAACACATTTTAGGCTTAATATTAAGTAGTACTCCAAATAAAGTTTAATTATAATTTTTATATCAGTAAGTCTCAAGCGATGTCAGTAAATATGTGAATAGATTTGAACTATACTTTGTATTTTAAATATATGATTTTTTTTTTCTATGGTGTGTATATATTTATGTGTTACAATATTTATAATAATATATTAATATCTTGTGCAACTGAACTTATTTTTTTCACAAAATTATTTATTTATTATTTACTGTATTTAGGCTGCATGGTTGAGGAAGTAAAGCAATTTGTCCTTTATTTAACTTTGTATTAAATTGGTTAATAACTTTTTGCAGTTGTTGCAGTTGCAGTAGTTACCTCCATGGCCATTTAAATTTAATTAAACATTTTGAGCGGCACATTTTGTCATTGCTCGTATTGTTTTTCACACTTGGTCTCGGCTCGTTTTGATGACAGGAAAACTGCCCCCACATGTTTGAACGGAAGCAGAGCGAAGTTTAGACAGAGTGCAGAGGGGTCCGGGGCCACCCACCCGGCCTGCCTTGGGCTTTCCTGCCTGGAGCCTCTTAATCACCGCGATATCTACACCAAAACAGTAGGACGTGAATCTTGGCTAAACTTGAAACGCATCTCCCCATCCCTCCAGCCCATAACCATAATGAACAAACAATGTTACTACAATAATATCCAATTACTACAAATAGATCTATGTGAAACGCTCTCATAACATCCTCATGCTTCACATTAATAGCTATGAATTTTTATAGTTGTTGCAGTTGCAGTAGTTACCTCCATGGCCATTTAAATTTAATTAAACATTTTGAGCGGCACATTTTGTCATTGCTCGTATTGTTTTTCACACTTGGTCTCGGCTCGTTTTGATGACAGGAAAACTGCCCCCACATGTTTGAACGGAAGCAGAGCGAAGTTTAGACAGAGTGCAGAGGGGTCCGGGGCCACCCACCCGGCCTGCCTTGGGCTTTCCTGCCTGGAGCCTCTTAATCACCGCGATATCTACACCAAAACAGTAGGACGTGAATCTTGGCTAAACTTGAAACGCATCTCCCCATCCCTCCAGCCCATAACCACAATGAACAAACAATGTTACTACAATAATATCCAATTACTACAAATAGATCTATGTGAAACGCTCTCATAACATCCTCATGCTTCACATTAATGGCTATGAATTTTTATAATTTTTTGGGGGTGAGAAAATGACATTTCTGTGTCAGAATAACTGGTGTTCCCCATATATTCCCATGAAAATATATTATATATAATAATTACAATAAATTCAGCTTGTGGTTTTGGTTAAACAGTGTTTGTGAGATGTTTACGTCTCATATTCCACATCTGAAACCAGCAGCTCTTCTGGGATGGTGCTGGTGTGATTGTTCAGGTTCTTATAAGATAAGAGTTCAAAACAAGAGTCTCTTCAATGCATTTTTGCTGTAACCTTTTCTAGTCAAGCCTCATTACGATTTTGTGTTTACCTGAACCCTTGAAGTATCCTTTCAACACTTGTCTGTTGAACTTGCTGCAAACCTTCAGAGAACATCCCAAACAGGGGTGAAGCATCTAATCACAGACTGTACAGCATGTAGAATCATGCCCTGAGAACAATGTTGACAGTTTCTAAACTGTGAGATCACACAAGCAGAGTTGGGAATGCTCTGGAAGTCTGATGTGGTTTATGCACAAAAACGTTTGAAATGCCTTAAAGGCACTCCAGGGATTTTAAGCCATTAATCAGAGAGGAAAGACTTTTTTTTTGCTGTTGGAAAAGTAGGTAATCTGTTGCAACCCCTTGCATTGAATGTGTACTTATAGTTTACTTCAAATCTTAAAAGTGTGTTTTTAAATAATTATACTTGCAGATAATATATTAATGAAATCAAAAGTCACTTAAGTGTACTTAAAGAGAGACACTTTCTTGATTATGTTTCTGAACACACTTAAGTACACTTTTTAAAAGTGCACTTTCAAATAACGTCAAATAAAAAGTTTTACTTTGTTATCATTGTTTTCATAATCTTTTGGTGTGTTTTAAAGAAGTACACTTATTTTGATGTGTTGACTAACATACTAAAGCACATGTAAAGTACTTGATTATAATTTTAACTGTAATATATCAATATAATATATTTAAAATGCACTAAACTGCAACTTCATCATTACAAAGGAGTAATTTCAAATATATTTAAATGCATAACAAACAATCTTCAATAGAAGTGACATTCAAATATATTTTAGTTGATCATAAATGCATGGCAGTACATTTAGCAGAACTTTAACCATATTTCAAAGATAATAAAGGTAATAATGAAATTACATATAAAGATGTTAAGTCCTACTTAAGTGGGTCTACAAAGTTCATGTCACGAATTCGGTCCATGGACTTCCGTTTATTCACCACCAGAGGTCACCCTTTCCTTTACATTGACTCTCGCACAACACAAACTGTTGCATAGCACCCCGGACTACATATCCCATCATTCATTGCACGGTTTGCACACTGCACTGATTGCACTCATTGCACACAGCTGTTTCTAATCACCTCACTCACTATATAACACCCACTCTAACCACCTTTCTCTGCTGAGTATTGTTTAGCCTGTGCCCCTTTCAGAGTCTCCGTGTTTTCCTTGTTTTGCCTTGCCTGTTTTTGCGGTTTCTGATCTTTGCCTGTTTCCCTGGATTTCTCCCTCTCGTCTCGCCCCTGTGATTCTGTCTGCCGATCGGTGACCTACGCTAGCCCTAGGACTATTCTTGTGTTTTTGCATGCCATATACCTGTTTGCCAGTGTTCGACCCTGCCTGTTATACCACGTCTCTTGAATAAAAGCTTGCAGATGGATCCACCCATCTCACGTCTCGTCAGCCCCGTTACAGTTCAGCTAATTGTATTGCATATAAATTTAAACTTTAATGCTCTAATTTCATTTAATTGTAAATGATATGCGATTAAGTGTTTGAAAACATTAAATTCAATTCACACTTAAGTACATTCTTTTAAAGTGTTATTTTATAAAAAGCAAAAGATAAAGTGTATATCTTTCTACAAGGGATTGTTTAAAAAATATTGAGCAGAATGATCGTTTTTTTTATTCTTGAAAGTATATGTTGGTAGTTTTGGTAGTTAATGTTGGTTGTTGTAATTAGTTTTTTTCACTGTTAAATAATATTATAATTTTCCTTTTTTTTAATGTAAGAAGAGGCTTAACACATTGGTTTTTACTCACTGGATTTGGGAGGCATGTGGTTAAGATGGGTAAATTACTTAAGTACATCTTTATGTGTAATTTCAGAATTACTTTTAATGTCTTTGAAATATAATTAAAGTGTACTGACGAAATGCACTGACAAGCATTTATGGTAAGCTAACTTTAATATAATTTCTATTGCAACATGTAGGTCATGCATTTAAATATATTTGACCGATGAAAAAATGGCAGCCTGAAAATGGTTTGAACTATTTTTTTTCCCAAGTCAAAAATATACGAAATTAACTTAAATACATTAATTTATGCCTAATTTTCTTTTAACATTTATTGGTTAATCAGGTAGAAATAAGCTTTTTTAAGGTAACAGCTGCAGGTTATCACTTTTTACAGTGTAATTACACATTTGTAATGATGAAGTTGCAATTTACTGCATTTAAAATATATTAACTTTAAATGTAATATCAAATAACACTACAGGTAAAGTCATAATCAAGTAGTTTACATGTGCTTTACATTTTTTTAAACAATGATTTAAAATGTGCTTTAAAGTAAAACTTCTAATTTGACATTATTGCGAAGTGCACTTTGTAAAAGTGTACTTAAGTGTGTTAAGTTTCATTAATAGTTCTTAGATATTTCTAAGATTTTAAGTGCACTACAAGTGCACATTCAATACAATTACACACAGAGCAATCAACCCTCTTATACATTAAGGAAGCAGAGACAGACTAATGGTAAACAGAGCACATGCAGTTACTTGTTTCGCTTCATTGTGCTCATGGTTGTCCTGAACTTTGCGCTTCTTAGAAGTGAAAAAACTTCTCTCACAGCTTAACTGTGGGTTTATGAAGTGAAGTGACATGTGGCCAAGTATGGTGACCCATACTCAGAATTAGTGCTCTGCATTTAACCCATCCAAAGTGCACACACACAGCAGTGAACACACACACACACACACACACACACACACCGTGAACACACACCCGGGCACCTCAGTCGTGGTACTGAAGGTGGGAGAGAGCGCTGTACATTCACTCCCCCCACCTACAATCCCTGCCGGTACGAGAGCAACCTTTGGGTTACAAGTCCAACTCTCTAACCATTAGGCCACAACTTCCCCTTATGATGGCAAAATGAAGTAAGAATAGTTTTGTAAACCTTTGCAGCATTATCTGTTCAACAAGAATTTGTATTTTAATTAGTACTTTGAGTTCAGCTGCCAGTGTTTTCTCTTTGTTTCTGACTGTCTTTATGTTGAGTCGACCCTGTTTGTACCTCTATGAAATTTCACGCCATCCCAACAAAACAGATTGATTACATCTTGCTTTTTAAGCTACGGAAGTCTCTGTGGCCTGGCTTTGACTTTGTTCAGCCTGAGGCTGTGGAACAATCTTAGAAAACTGGGGTTTCCAATGGAGAAAGACAGCAGGAAGAAAAGAGGAGAGGCCTTTAAAAGAAAATATGTTAGTGAGTAAACAAAGACGGACTCATTCCAGATGTTTTGATGCTAGGAAAAGACCCACTGTGACCCAGTGAGCTCAAATTCACAGAAATGTACTGCACAAATCCATTGCGTGTTTCATTGTTTTGCTTCGAGATGAACTGAGCCAAAAATATGACTAATTAATTTGGTTTGATGAAACAAATTTGATTAATAACAAAGTATGTTTATGGTCTGGATGAATGTTTTTTTTATTTGAGTTGATCATTTTGAGTAATAGTGTCTGCATGAAGTTGTAAGGTGGAAAGCATGTATCATGCCCTTGAGTCTGTGTTTTAATGGCTCATTAAACTGCAGGAGGAAGAACTGACCCTCTTTAGCAGTGTGTTCAGTGCTGACTGATGAGACAGCCTCAGTCTCCAGACTGGTCACTCCAGCTCCTAGAGATGGTTTAGGGTCAAAGGTCATCTTTTAAGTTGACGTCTCACCTCAGTGGTACTGGGGGCGGAATGACTTTTTCCCCTATCACTCAACAAACGTGTCAGACAGAGCTGACGAAGATGTTTTAGCCTCATGCTGAGGAGAATCTGATTCCCAAATTCCTTCTTTTGCAGGTTATTTATTATGGATTAATGGGGAAGTTGCATCTCATTTCTACATTTATGCCATTATTAACTTGTGAATATCATTAAAAAAACTAAAAAAACCTAACGATCATGTCCGGATCACATTTCACCTCAATATTAAAAAACAAACAAACAAACAATTAATAATAATATGTATTTAAATTTTTAAATTTTTATTTACAATTTTAAATTACTGGAAGTAAATGTTATACATATATATATGTATAATAATTTACTCATTTATGTAATGTAAGATAATAAAAGTTATTAATATATTTAAAAATTCTTTAATAAGTATATCATTTTCTTCTTATTATCTTATTAATATCACTAGGCTCATTTTATCAATAGGCTTTATTTCCTTTATGCAGTGAAATATAGGACCCTTGTGTTTAGGCGACAAAATAAAGTGTAATGATATTTTTGTTTTCTTTTCAGATATCACATCTCATATAATGATTAGAGAGAGAACAAGATCCTGACCTCTGACCTGATACCCATGAGCAATGCTTCTGATCGTCTCACATTAGTATCAAGAAGAAGTGGAGATGACTTTGTATGAAAACATTCACTGGACAGAGCAAGACTGAACAACAGTTCCTCCAGTAGATTCGTTCATTCCCTCACTGCAGAGGTCCTGATCCACACAAACTCAACACAATGACCGCAAAAGACAGGACATATTTGTCTTTCCTCTTGCTGGGTCTTTTCCAGCAGATTCAGGGCTCTCTGGTAAAAACCAATCTTGGTCTAAAGGTGAAGCGAGGGCAGTCGGTCTTCCTGCAGGAGGAGGATCTGCAGTTTCACATACCCAGAGCCAAGGATGCCTGCAAGCTGGAACTTGTGCTGAATGAGCCCATTACACAGCGGGTCGGCACACTGACCCCTCAGGTTAACCCTCTTTTTGCATGCATTGAATTATCCACTAGACATTCAGTGATGAACATACTCAAACAGAGCATTTGACATTTGAAGAACTATCCGTGTGAATAAGAAGTGTGCTTAATTTTATTGAATGTGCACTTGTAGTGTACTTCAAATCTTAAAAGTATATGTGACCCTGGAGCACAAAAGCAGTCTTAGGTCGCTGGGGTATATTTGTAGCAATAGCCAAAAATACATTGTATGTGTCAAAATTATTGATTTTTCTTTTATGCCAAAAATCATTAGGATATTAAGTAAAGATCATGTTCCATGAAGATATTTTGTAAATTTCCTACCGTAAATATATCAAAACTTAATTTTTGATCAGTAATATGCATTGCCAAGAACTTCATTTGGACAACTTTAAAAGCGATTTTTTTCAATATTTTGATTTTTTTGCACCCTCAGATTCCAGATTTTCAAATAGTTGCATCTCGACCAAATATTGTCCAATTTGGAAAAACTGACACTTAAGACTGGTTTTGTGGTCCAGGGTCACATATTTAAAAAAAGACTTGCAGATAGTATAATATTAATGAAAGAAAAGGCCACTTAAGTGAACTTACGGAGAGGCACTTTCAAAAAGTGCACTTTTTAATAGTGTCAAATCTCAAAAATTTTACTTTAAAGTACATGCTTTAATAATATTTTTGTGCTTTAAAGAAGTACACTTATTTTGATGGGTTGACTAACATACTAAAGTAGATGTAAAGTACTTGATTATAATTTTAACTGTAGTGTGTTATTCAGTATTACATTTAAAGTTCATATATTTGAAATGTACTAAATTGCATCTTCATCATTGCAAATGTGTAGTTACAAATATATTTAAATAAACAGCATACAAGTTTCAATAGAAATTACATTAAGTATATTTTAGTTTCTGTTTGTAATTTGGGTTTGTTAATGCAGGTTGTCTGAATTTGGTACTAAGTAATCTTCTGTTCTTTCTACAACTATTTCACATTTGTCAGGTTTTTGACTGTCACTTTTTGGCTGATGAAGTGAAATACACTCATAATGGATGTGCGATTTTAAAAGAAGATACTGTTAAACTTCGTCTGTACAGGTATGTTTTGCATTATTACAGTTTAGGACATTCAATTAGAAGTCAGTTAAAATTGAAATATTATACTTTGGTTTGATTTGATCTGTTTTTGCTTTGCTGTCTAAATATGTACATTTCATGTGGATTTGTCGTTTAGATTTACAGAGACAGAGACGTACAGTGAGCTGTTCTCTCTCCGTGTTGAAATCATGGAGCCGGACTGTAATGTGATTAAGTTCGGGTCACAGAATCTCGAGGTGCCAGAGTTTTATGGCCTCTCCAATGTTCTGGATGGCAATGTTGTGTCCTTCCACTATGAACACAGACATAATATTGAGTGCACAGTTCGGGTGACAACTTTGGAGATGCATCTCCCTGTTCACGGTCAGCTAGTCACTGGAGAACCGGAGAAACCAGAGGGGCCGAGAGGGGATGAACCAGATAGCTTTGTTTCTCTACGAAGACAGCTGGGTAAAATCGTTACAAACAATTTACCAGTTTTCCTTCTGTACAAACACATCCAGGTTATTGACATATAAACAAAGCTACTTTAGAAATTATTCAATGAAGTCAAATAAAATATTCCAGGGTCATAATTCACTTTAGTGGCAATAATGTTATTTTAGTGTTATTTACCGTATATACTATAATGATATACTATATATACTATACTATATTATATATATATATATATTAATGCTGTCAGACGATTAATCGCGATTAATCGCATCCAAAATAAAAGTTTTTGTTTACATAATATATGTGTGTGTACTGTGTATATTTATTTTGTATATATAAGTACACACACATGCATAATGTATATATTTAAGAAAAATATGTTATGTTTATATATTACATATATTTATTTATAATATAAATTATATGAATATAAATATAGGCATGTAAATACATGTAAATATTTTCAAAATATATACTGTATGTGTGTGCATTTATATACATAATAAATATACACAAAACACACACATATTTTATGCAATCAAACACTTTTATTTTGTATGCGATTAATCGCGATTAATCGTTTGACAGCATTAATATATATATATACAATAGTATTTCTTTGTTAATATTTTGAACTAGCTTTTCAGTTTAAATTTAAATGTTTAAATAATTTGATTGTGCATTTGTCCTTTTTATTCTTTTTTTGGAAATATTTATATTTAACTTTAATTTATTTTTATTTCAATTTTAGTTTTAGTAATTTTAGTACTTTTAGTTAAACTTATTTCATTTCATTTGTTTGCCAAGGCAACATTTCTGATTTTCGTTTTAATTTTATATATTTTAAAATCGATTTTTAATTTATTCTTTTATTTATTTTGAAATGCATACATTTATTTTATAATCATTATTACGTTTGTCATCTAATATTAAAATTTTATTTCATTCCAACTTAACAAAAACAAAATTTAAATGAGAAATTATATTAATGCTTCAATTAAATATATATATTTCTGCAGACAGTTTTTGGATTAGAGGGATGATAATAGAATTTTGGAGACAACTTGTTACAGTTTTGCAGAACAGCTGATAGTATCACATTTAGTTTGTTTGTTTATTTATTTTGTATGTTAAGTTATGTTAACATTTTAGTTTTTCAGAATAGATGAAAATACTTTATATACTTGATATATACTATGTATACTATTATAATAGGAACATTATAGCCTAATATAAGGAGAACATTTTCATTTATTTCACAACCCAGTTTCATATTTAATATCAGGGCATTCTTTTCTCTGTCTCCCTGCAGATAATAAAGCCAGAGCTCATTGTAAGAGTGACGAGTGTCTAAAGGGTCTTAAACTGCTGAAGATCACCAAAGTACCATGTAATGATTTCCTCATGATGGGCATCCGTTACCACCACACTGACCCTCCATCTCCAGATATAGACTACATCGCCATTAGACTGGACCTCACAGACACCCGCAGCAGGAGCATCATCCAGGTGTTCATTAAAGCATCTTCTTATTACTGCGTTTTTACAATACTATTTTAACAGCAGTTCTGTGTGTCTCCACTCAGTCAGAGCAGGCCTGGATCCCGGTAACCATTAAGGACGCAATGCCCAATCAGCCGCCCAAGCCTGCTTTTATGTCCATGTTCATCTTAGAGGTGGACCAGTTCATCCTGACTCCTCTCTCCACGGCAACGCTGGACGCAGAGGATGATGAGACGCCCAAACAGCGGCTGGTGTTCAACATCACTAAAGCCCCTAGAGAGGGCTTCATCACTCACCTGTCTGACCACACCAAACCCATCACCTCCTTCACCTGGACGGATCTCAACGACATGCTGATCAGCTACCAGCCTCCAAACTCCAGCCACACACAGCGCAGGAACTATGAGGTACTGAAGCAACTTCAGCATACTATTAAAAAGCATAGAAATAATTTACTTTAAAGGAATAGAATTAAGTGTGAACTGTATGTAATATTTTCAGACACTTAACGGCATGCTATTTATGATATTATAGTTGAAACTTGTATTAAATGCAGTTGGAAATTAAGAGTGCTTTTTGACCTATTTAAGTAGGACTTTATATGCAATTTCATAATTTCTTCTATTGTCTTTGAAATATGGTTAATGTGCTGACAAGCATTTATGGTAAACTAAAATATATTTTAATGTCATTTCTATTAAGACCTGTATGCCATATATGTGTAATTATACATTTGTAATGATGAAGTTGCAATTTAGTTTATTTACAGTATATTTAAATACAGTATTTTAACTTTAAATGTAATATTGAATAAAACACTACAGTTCAAATTATACTTACTGTAGTACTTTGCATGTGCTTTAGTATGTTAGTCAACACATACTGCACTTCTTTAAAACACAGCAAAAGATTATTAAGACTAAAAAGATTATTAAAACTTTTAGTTTTACATTGTTATAAAGTGCTTTTTAAAAGTCTACTTAAGAGTGTTAAGAAACATAGTAATGAAAGTGTACTCATCTTAAGTACACTTAAATTGTTACTTCATTATTATATTATATTATAAGTACAGGTTTTCAAAAATATACTTGTAAATCTGAAGTACACTAATGCATAGTCAGTACAATTAAGCACACTTCTTTTTCACAAGGGAACTGTACTAGCATGAACATTAAACAGAAGTTTCATTTCTGCTAGGTGGAGTTTGAAGTTCATGATTTCTACTTTGAGAAAAGCCAGCCTGTGATTGTACACGTGTCAATCAGGACAGCTGATACCAATGCGCCAAGAGTATCGTGGAACATGGGTCTGTATTGTGCATCATTTTCATATACAATATACACAACATTTTATTTTGGGTGTAATATTTATTTTTTAAGATTTGGAAAAGAAAAAACTTCCACTTGTGTCATCTCTGATTACTTTGTGCCACTATTAAATGTGACCCTGGAGCACAAAAGCAGTCTTAAGTCGCAGGGGTATATTTGTAGCAATAGCCAACAATACATTGTATGGGTCAAAATTATAGATTTTTCTTTTATACCAAAAATCATTAGGATATTAAGTAAAGATCATGTTCCATGAAGATATTTTGTAAATGTCCTACTGTAAATATATCAAAACTTACTTTTTGATTAATAATATGCATTGCAAAGAACTTCATTTGGACAACTTTAAAGGCCATTTTCTCTATATTTTGATTTTTTTGCACCCTCAGATTCCAGATTTTCAGATGATGTATAAATCTCAATTTATAAAAATTGACCCTTATGACTGGTTTTGTGGTCCAGGGTCACAAATTACCCTGAACAACATGCCTCTGTAGTGTGCTTCACTATATAGAATGTTTGTTTGTAGTGTACTCCAATTCTTAAAAATACATATTCTTTAAGGAAATAAATGGCCACTTATCTGCACTTAAAGAAAGACACTTTCACGACTGCTTTTAATGCCAATTTAAATGTTTTGCTTTAAAGTACATTTTAAATCATTATTTTGTCACCCTTTAAAGAAATGCACTTATTTTTATGTGATGATTAACAAACTACCATAGATGCTTGTCAGTACATTTAGCAGTACACTTTATCCATATTTCGAAGACAATAGAATTATGAGACTACATATAAAGATGCACTAAAGCCCTACTACAGTAGGCCCCCCATATGATTGTAAAGCGCTTTGGGTGTACAGCAATACACAATAAAACGCTATATAAATGCTTCATTCATTCATTCATAAAATATTCTAAAGTTCAGCTAAGTGCATTTAATATGAAACTATATTGGCAATTCTCTCCTTATTTCTGTTCATATTTCGAAGACAATAGAATTATGAGACTACATATAAAGATGCACTAAAGCCCTACTACAGTAGGCCCCCCATATGATTGTAAAGCGCTTTGGGTGTACAGCAATACACAATAAAGCGCTATATAAATGCTTCATTCATTCATAAAATATTCTAAAGTTCAGCTAAGTGCATTTAATATGAAACTATATTGGCAATTCTCTCCTTATTTCTGTCGTATTAATAGGTCTCAGTCTGTTGGAAGGTCAGTCTCGTCCAATCACATGGGATCAGTTTCAGATTGTCGACAATGACAACCTGAAGGCTGTGAAGATCATCACTGTGGATGGCCTGCAGCACGGGAGACTAACGGTTAGAGGTACACATACAGATGATTTTTCCTGAGTTATTAATCTGTTACATCAAATTCAATCATATCTTTGCATTCTGCACTAAACATTCTCACTACCACTGTATGTGTATCTGTATGTAAGGTGGAAAAGGTTTCATGTTCACTGTGAAAGATATAAAGGATGGCGAGGTTCGCTACCACCACGATGACAGCGACACGACTAAAGATTATATAGTCTTTCGCATTACTGATGGCTTGCATCAAATCAGACACAAGTTTCCCATCAACATCCTGCCCAAAGACGACAGTCCACCCTTCCTCATTACCAATATGGTGCTGGAGCTGTCTGAAGGCCAGACGGCTCTTCTGAGAGGATCCATGTTGCAAGCCTGTGATTTGGACTCTAGTGATGACTACATCATGTTCAACATCACCAGACCTCCAGAGGCAGGAGAAATCATGAAGATGCCTGGTCCTGGCATCACAGGTGAGGAAAGCTTAATTGAATGAATTTAATTCTTACACTCTTTAAAATAACTGTCACTCCCCATTTTTTTAAATAGGCATTAAAGTGTACTATCCAAACTTAAATTGTTATAATTCATGAACACTTCGGAATACAGAGGAAAGGTTGGTCTCTTTTTAAAGAATTATTGCAGAAGTGGAATTATTTCCAAAAATTTAAATTTCAAAACGTTATAGAAGTTAAAATTTACTGTAAAGAAAACGCACTGTACAATTTTTATTATATTTTATATAAAACAAATATTTTACATAACAGGTTTTACTCTAAAATTGATAAAAAAGTAACGCCTTATGTCTAAATAAGTTATGTTCCAAATTTGAAGTTGATATGAAAAAATTGGTTTCTGTGAGATTTTATTTAGGGTGTTATACCACAAACAGCCACCAGGTGCCATCCACAAACTCCATTTAAGTTTTTTGATGCACTTTTCTGTCACAGATATCTACATATCTATCAATATTACTTCTATCAGCACATATGGAATCATGAGACTCAGACCTCTCCAATGATATGTTTTATGTTTAAGATTATAAAAAGTTTTGATTGTAAAAGACCGTAATGCATTTTGTATTTTGTTATTCATATTAGTTTTTTTTATTTTGTCTATATTTTTTCATTAATTAAAATGTTTAGTTTATTACAATTAGTTATTTTAGTATTTCAACTTAAAATAAATGAAAATGGGAAATGTTGCCTTTGCAACTAGCTGAACTAAAATGAGTTTAAGTTTTTATTACACCTTATATTTTCACCATTTTAATATAATTTTATATAGTAGGTTAGACTTCGTATATTTAAGTTATTATTTGTAATTTTGAGCTTGCTCAAGTCAGTAGATGATTTTACTATTAGCATGATGCTGATGATACGTTTTGCCATCACCTACTCACCGATTTTCTAAACTATACCACTTTATTATTCATAGATATCAGTGCTATACAAACACAAGTGCTAGTTGAGTGCTGGATGTGTGTCTTGTCATCTGCAGGTGCATGTGGAGCCGCTGGCGGTGGATGAGGGTGGAGAGAGCTGGGTGAGTGAAGAACACATGCGTCTGTCAGACCAGGACTCTCTACAGGACTCTCTGCACGTGGAGCTGAAGACCGGACCCCAGCATGGCAGCATTTACCTGGACGGCACAGCCATGAGTCCAGGCCAGACTTTCAAAGTCAGGGATCTGAAAAGCCTAAAAGTTAGGTCAGATGTGGTTCCTCATAGTTTGTTTGGGTTCACTGTAAACACTTTAAGGCAAGACACATCAGGCAAAAACATTTTTTTCAATTTGGCTTTTAATAAGGTTTTGTTTCAGACTATTATATAGAAAACATCCAAAATGCAATTTTAAGAGTTTATTGAATTTCATTTGATCTATTTGCGTCTGTATATTTCAATCATAAAACATAACTTTAAAGGTTATGTTAACCTTTAAAGTTTGACAAAAAACCTTTTTTTTTGACATGCATAAAATTTTACGGAAGAGTATTAGGGCCAAGCAATAAATAAAAATATAAAACCATCTCGAGATTAAAGTCGTTAAATTTCGAGAAAAAAAATCAAGATTAAGTGTTGAGATTAAACTCATTAAATTTCGAGAAGAAAGTCATTATGTTTCGAGGAAAAACTCGTTAAATTTCAAGAAAAAAAGTCAAAATAAAATGTTGAGAATAAACTCATTAAATTATGAGAAAAATGTCGTTAAATTGCGATAAAAAAAGTCGAGATAAAATTTTGAGAATAAACTCATTAAATTACGAGAAAAAAGTTGTTATATTTTGAGAAAAAAATTTAAATAAATGTTAAGAATAAACGAATTAAATAATGAGAAAAAAGTCGTTAAATTGTGAGAAAAAAAGTTGAGAATAAACTAATTAAATTAGGAGAAAAAAGTCATTAAATTTCAAGAAAAAAATCGAAATAAATGTTGAGAATAAACTCATTAAATAACGAGAAAAAAGTCATTAAATTTCAAGAAAAAAAAATGAAATAAATGTTGAGAATAAACTAATTAAATTACGAGAAAAAAGTTGTTTGTGGCATAATAAAAGCTCCGCTGCTTTCGAGCCGTGTGTCGCGCTCGTTCAGCGGCCTCGTTTCGCTTCGACGGCTTTCAGCCTCACACTGCTTTATTCTACTACATTAATAAATCATTAGCTCATCCATGAACATGATTTCTGACCGAGTCCCGTCGGATTGCATCGGCTGTGTGGATGAAGACCACAACTCCCATGATTCCATCATGGCGTCATCAAACTACGCCTTTGTTTCTTTGTTTATTTTGAATATGCGCCCTCTAGCGGCGAAAATTACATATTGTGCCTTTAAGTGCAAACTGAATTTGATGTTTTTGGACACTTAATTGCATGTTAACTGCAATTAAATTAACATGAATTGTGGTTAAAATTTTTATTAAATGCAATTAGCTGAAATTTGGAATGCTTTTTGACCCACTTAAAGGTTTAGTTCATCCAAAAATGAAAATTGTCATTAATTACTCACCCTCATGTCGTTCCAAACCCCTAAGACCTCTGTTCATCTTCGGAACACAAATGAAGATATTTTTGATGAAGTTTGAGAGCTTTCTGACCGTGCATAGACAGCAATAATATTACCACAATCGACGCACAGAAACATAGCAAGGACATTGGTAAAATAGTCCATGTGACATCAGGGGTTCAACCGTAATTTTACAAAGCTACGAGAATACTTTTTGTGCGCAAAGAAAACAATAATAATATAATTTATTCAGCAGTTCTTCTCCCCGAGTTACCGTCTTCCAACGTAATCAAGCGTTGTTTACGTTCAGTAGAAAGCGTGCACATGCTGAACGCAAACAACGCTCATTACGTTGATTACGTTCTGGGGTACTAATAAATTGTTATTATTGTTTTCTTTGTGCACAAAAAGTATTCTCGTAGCTTCGTAAAATTACGGTTGAACCACTGATGTCACATGGATTATTTTACTGATGTCCTTACTACGTTTCTGAGCTTTGATCGTGTAAGGATTCTTGCTGTCTATGCAGGGTCAGAGAGCTCTCAGACTTCATCAAAAATATCTTAATTTGTGTCTTACAGGTTTGGAACGACATGAGGGTGAGTAATTAATGAGAGATTTTCATTTTTGGGTGAACTATCTCTTTAAGTAAGGTTTCATATGCATTGCAATATGCATTAATGCTGAAGTTGCAATACAGTAACTTTAAATGTAATATAGAATACCTTTACAAGTGCTTTATTATGTCATCATAAGTGTACTTCAAAAATCTATTAAAACAACAATTTAAAATGTACTTTAAAGTAACTTTTTTTAATAAAAAGTGTACTTAAGTGTATTCAAAAACAGTCATGAAAGTGTATTCTCTTTAAGTACACTTAAGTGGCGTTTTATTTAATTAACATTACATTATGTGCAAGTGCAGGTTTTTTTAAAATATACTTAAATATCCCTGCAATAACAAATTGATATCAATCATACACTCAAGGACAAGAGATTGGGCTGCAGCCACGTCATGACGTCGTTACATTTGTGATCTCTGATGGAGAATCAGGGCCAGTTCCTTCATGTTGCGGTAACAGAGCCACTGTCTTCAACGCACAAACACCTGAAGTACAGAACGCCCTGCCTGTCTACGACCTTAATATCACCGTTTATCCCGTGAACAACCAACCTCCAGCTATAGTTGTCGGTAATAGGAACACTTTTCTTTCTGATGTTAGAATATCATGTTGTATGTTATGTTTATGACTGAAACAGTCATAATCTCTCTTCGAATTCAATTAAGTGGCCTTTAATTTCATTAATATTGCATTATCAGCAAGTACGTTTTTTTTTTTTTTCAAAATTAACTTCGATTTGAAGTATACTACTTAATACAATTAAGTGCACCTCTTTTCAAAAGACATATTTTAGCATTTGCTACTCATTGTTTACATGCTTGTGTCCATGAAGCATCTTTTCTCACATCAGGAGAGGTGTTTATGGTGGATGAGGGCGGGTCAGCCTCCATCACGGATGCTCATCTGAGAGTTGAAGACCAGGACTCTGCTCCAGAGGACCTTAACCTCATTCTGGTTGCTCCGCCACAGTTTGGATACATAGAAAACATCCTGCCCAGTCCGGGATTTGAAAAGAGCAACATGGGAATCAGTATTGGTGAGTCACATTTCACTGGATTTAAAAGCTGCTCTAAACAAGTTAGATGTATAAAAGTAACCTAAAGTGATCGAAAAGTAGTCCGAATACATTGGCTAAATGAGTAATCTAGATTACATTACTGACTGCAGTTTTCATCATGTAATTAGTCTACACTTTGTAAGTGATCTACCCAGCACTGATAGCATTGTTTTTCCTTGTTCAGCCTCTTTCACCTACAGGGACGTGTTGAATGGACACATTAACTATGTCCAGTCTAGACATCAGAGGATAGAGCCCACCACCGACCAGCTCATGCTGCATGTGTCCGACGGGAAACAGCAGTCCTCTTCAGTCCCGTTTTACATCATCATCCATCCAACCAATGACGAGATTCCAGAATTCCTGGCCAGAAACATCACGGTCAGTCAGAGAGTAATCTCGTAACCAGCTAACAGGGAATGTTGTCAGAACATTGGTTTAACGTTTTGTCAAGGTTCTCTTCTTGAAGTCACGTTAATGGAATGTTCATTCAAAATTTGTCTGGTCTGTAATAATGTTCTCCAAACGTGAACTAAAAAAAACATTATGTATGCATTGTTCATGAAACGTTTTTTTCCTGAAAGGTTTTAGTTGGACGTTTGTGTATAATGTTTTATTTTAAATGTGACCTTAGACCACAAAACCAGTTATAAGGGTCAATTTTTTTTAAAAATTTAGATTTATACATCATCTGAAAGCTGAATAAATAAGCTTTCCATTGATGTATGATTTGTTATGATATGACAATATTTGGCTGAGATACAATTAGTAACTTTGAATATCTGGAATCTGAGGGTGCAAAAAAATCTAAATATTGAGAAAATCTCCTTTAAAGTTGTCCAAATGAAGTTCTTAGCAATGCATATTACTAATCAAAAATTAAGTTTTGATATATTTACAGTAGGAAATTGACAAAATATCTTAATGGAACATAATCTTTACTTAATATCCTAATGATTTTTGGCATAAAAGAAAAATTTATAATTTTGACCCATACAATATATTTTTGGCTATTGCTACAAATATACCCCAGCGACTTAAGACTGGTTTTGAGCTCCAGGGTCACAAATGTTATCACTTGATTCAGAATGGTCAGAAGACATTCAAAAGTAACGTTTCCCTAATGTTTGCAAAATTATCAATTGTAATATTCCCTTAATATTTGCATTAAAATTGTTTTAAAAATTTTTTTAAAAATGGATGTTTTCAACATTCAGGGAACATTCAGAAATAACATTTTTCTAACCTATTGAGAACATTAGCAAAACGTTCCTAAAACATTCAGTAATAAACTTAATGGAATGTTAAAAAACGTTCTTAGAACAAATTAGCTGCATATATAGCACAGCTGAGTAACTGAATAAAACAATTAGGTTTTTGTGTTTACACTTTGGCATGATCTTTATCAAGAAACATTGCTCTAGTCAGTTCATATGAGAGAACTTTGGCTAATGTTCTGGTAAAGTTCTCTCAAAGTTGTGATTTCTTCCAGTGATGTTAACAGAACATTTGTTCAAAGTTATCTGGTCTTTATTAATGCTGTCAAAATGTTGGCTTAAAAAGATTATTTATGCAGTATATTGTTCATGAAACATTTTTTTTTCTGAAACGTTTTAGTTAGATGCCCGTCTAATGTTTTTCAAATGTTGCTTCTTGTTTCAGAAAGTACATTCAAAAGTAATGGTCCAATAATTTTTACAAAATAATCTAATGAAATATTCCATTAACATTTACATAACCAAGAAAAAACGTTTTAAAGCATTTAAAAAACTGGATGGTTTGGACGTTCAGAGAACATTCAGAATGTTCTATTTTTAACTTAATGGGATCGTTAGCAAAACGTTCTTAGAACATATTTTATTAGCTAGGTACAGTATATAACTGCTGAGTAAGTGAAAAAAAACTAGTGATCGACCGATATTGATTTTTTTATAACCGATACTGATACCAATTATTTGCATGTTTATGTGCCCGATTACCGATATGCAGAACCGATATTTATTTACTGTTATAAAGTAAATAAATGACTGAGTGAAGTAAGAACATACTTCACTTTGGTTTTTCCTCTTTTCAGTCATCTTTTTTTTTAAGTGTTGAAAATTAGCAGTCTTTCATGTTAAAATTAATCTTCATACTACAACAATAAAAAAACATTTTATTTATAAAAAGCATCAACAGCAACAACACTAATATTAACAATAAGAAAAATAAATGAGAAAATAAATAAAGGACAGGAGTCATATCAACTTCATTTTAAACTACAGTTTTAGTAGGTTTATAAGCTGTTTAATAGCTACAGAGTCAAGAATAATTCACTGGATAATGTTAATTCACTAAATAATATTCTCTGGAATATTGGAATATAACAAACAAAACATCATATTTTATTGCATTTCTCAACTGGAATGTTATATCAGAATTATTAATAATGTTTTTGATACAATTTAGGGCATTTTAAACAAGTGAAACAAGTGAATCTTGTTAAAAGTTACATGCTGTGGCCGTTTTCCTGAGCATCAACCGCATCAACCCGGTGAGTGAACAGCAATATGAAAGAGGCTTCACGAGACTAATGATGAACATAGACAACAGACAGAGAATTAAATTTCTGGTAAAATGCATAATATCGGGAAAAATATCGGTAAATCGATATATCGGTCGATCTCTAAAAAAAACGAATGATTAGGTTTATACTGTACATATGGCATATTCTGTCTATATAAAGAAACTTTGCTGTAGTTAATTCAGTTGTGATGACCAGGGTTTTGTCTTTTAGGTTCGGGAGGGGGACATGAAAGAGCTGGACCCATCTATAATCAGTGCGGTGGACCTTGATGTTCCCAGAGAGCGTTTAATGTTCAGCATAGTCCAGCAGCCTCAGCACGGCTCCATCATGAGCGTGCCACACGGCAATGATGTGACACTTTACAAGCCTGGATCTGAGATCCCTGTGGAGCACTTCACCATGGACGACCTCCGGAACGGTACTGCAAATAGACTTTTATGCACATCCCCCCTCCAAGTCCAAATTGTATGGTCTACAGTAAAAACTGTAAAATTGTGAAACATTATTACAGTTCAAAAGAACTGTTTTCTATTTCAATATATTTAAAAATGTAATTTATTCCTGTCATGCAAAGATGAATTTTCAGCATCATTACTCCAGTCTTCAGTGTCCTTCATGATTCTAATATGCTGATTTGCTGCTCAAGAAACATTTCTGATTATCATCAATTTAGAAAACAGTTGTGCTGCTGCTTATTTTTGTATAAACCGTGATACATTTTTTTTTACAGGATTCTTTGATTAATAAAACATTTAAAAGAAACGATTTTATGTAAAATACAAATCTTATATGTCATTGTATATGTTTTAACTGTCCCTTTTGATCAGTTTAATGTGTCTTTTCTTGATCAATTAGAAGCGTATATCAACAATAAAGTCTGTTTGTGTAACTCTGTCCTCAGGCATGACTCTGATGTACGTGCACGATGACTCTGAGAGTGAGCAGGATGGATTTATTGTTCAGCTCTCCGACGGGAAACACCAGCTCCAGAAACACCTGCGAGTCAAAGTACTGCTTGTCAATGATGAGGAGCCGCAGATTATACGGTAACTGCAAATTAATGTCACTGCAGTAAATCATCCTTTACTGTTAGCCATTAATAAATGAGTTTAAGTGGTAAATCTCTTTGAAAAACAAACAAACTCCAAAACACAGGAACACTGGGATTGAGATGGAGGCTGGGGAGTCCAGGCTGATCTCCAGTGCTGTGCTCAGCGCTCACGACAAAGACACTCCATCCTCCGACATTATCTATGTGTTCGAGAGCATACCGAGTCATGGTGTCATTCAGATGAAGGTCAGTTTACTCAATCTGCAGTCAAAAAAAAATCAAATATACTTCATTCTTTACACCTGAAAACGAACAATTTGTATGATAATGGCTCTCTTAAAAATAAAGGTTCTTTATTGGCATCTGTGGTTCCATGAAGAACCTTTAACATCCACGGAACCTTTCCATTGCACAAAAGCCTCTTTACAGCGGAAAAATGTTCTTCACACTAAGAAAATATGGTTCTGTTTATTATGAACACGCACTGCAGTTATGTCATCTCCTGCTTTAAATGCTGTCAATGTTTTTATGTTCATCAACTGGGAAAAAAAACATTCTGAAAGTGATTTCAATGGTGTCATTATCATTATAATTGTGGTGTTTAATAATAATAGAACAATTATTAAAATTATTAAAACATTATCTTCATTGTTATAGTTATTGCCCTTGGTGTGAGTGCACCTTAAAGGAATAGTTCACCCAAAAATGAAAAATTTGCTGAAAATGTAGTCATCCTCAGGTCATCCAAGATGTAGATGAGTTTCTTTCTTCATTGGAAGAGATCCCAGATCCCAAAATGAATGGGTGCCATCAGAATGAGAGTCCAAACAGCTGATAAAAACATGATGAACTCACATTTTGTCCAGAAGCAACGTTAATAATGGATTTGTTTCTTACAAACACGCAGCTTTTCACTTCACAAGACGTTAACTGATGGACTGCAGTGGTGTGGAGTACTTGTGCATTATTGTGATGTTTTTATCAGCTGTTTGGACTCTCATTCTGACGGCACCCATTCACTGCAGAGCATCCATTGCTGAGCAAGAGATTTAAATGATACATTTCTCCAAATCTGTTCATATGAAGAAACAAACTCATCTACATATTGGATGGTCTGAGTATATTTTCATTTCTGGGTGAACTGTTCCTTTAAGCCACTGACACACTGGTTGTCTGCTGTTCCTCAGGTAGGCACAGACTGGGTGTCTGTATCAGCAGGGATGAACTGCTCTCAGCAGGTTTTGGAGATGAACCTGTTACGTTACCTTCACACCGGTCATCCTGGAGCAGCCGCTGCTGACGTCTTTATCTTCCACCTGTTGGATGGCAAGAACCGCTCTCCTGCGCAGCACTTCCACATCACAGTCAAAGAGCTGGAGAAAGGTGGGCTGCTGCTTTATTCTCATGTTTTCACTTTGAGTAAGTGTATTTAGTTTATTGTAGTTTTCTTTGTTTATTTGGATTTTTTTCCCAGCACTGTAAAAATTGATGTAAATAAAGATTGAACATGCTTTAAAATAAATTTTTAACACTTTTAATTCAATGTTACTTGCCATTTCTTTGTAATCATTTATGAAATGTTCTATTAATTTATGAGTAAATCCTACATTAAAAGTAACAATAAGTATTTGATATGAATGTGTTTTCCTGATGATATGCATACTATATTCCAAGAGCTATCCGCAAATTATTCATCATTTCGAGTCTGTTTTGTGCTTCTCTCCAGGAGACATAGCATTGTTCCTGAAGCCCGTGAGGACGAGTCGCGGGGAGCGTGTGATCCTCACCACAGACGTCTTGCTGGCTGTAGACGGCACTGACAAGCCGGAGGAGCTGCTGTACATTATCACCGTACCTCCAGCACATGGACATGTGGAGTACATCAAACACACCGGAGTGCAAATCCAGTCGTTCAGTCAGCTGGACGTAGCAGCAAACCTGGTGTGTTACGTACATGACAACAGAGCCACTTCACCTAAAGAGACCCTGCGGTAAGGACCTCATGCAAGGACATAGTGTTATATATTAATTAAGACTTTAAATCATACTTCACTATAAAATCAAGCATAAATAATAAAAACACTATTTATAATATTTAAAGAAAGTGAAGCCTATTACATTATATTCATGATAATGAATTATTAAATATTAATATAATATTAATGTAGTTTATATAATATATATTCATAAGTATATAAATAAATAAAATATATACACTTTTTACACAATATTTTTTCCTAAGTGTTGCTTCGCTTTCTTTTTGCAAATTAAAATTTCTTATTTTTCTTCTTGTTTATTTGTTTAATTATTTTATTACATAATATTGCTAACATATAATAAAGAAAATTAAGCTTGTTTAGGAATTTCACATTATTTTCATTATAATTAATTATTAAGATACTATTAATGTAATATTAATATAATATGACACAATTTATATTTTGCTTTATATATAATTTTTTATATTAAAAATATATAAACTTTTTACACAATATTTTTTTTCCTAAGTGTTGTTTCACTGTCTTTTTGCAAAGTAAAACGTCAGATTTTTCCTCTTTTATTTATTTATTTTATGAAATAACATTTATTAATATTAATAATATATTAGCCTGTTTTGGGAACATTAATTAATCCGCACATTTTACACACAAATCGTCAGTACTGTAACTGTCACTAAATATTAAAACTACATTAATGCAACATGAGACTTGTAATATGATATAATATGATAATTGCAAAGTAACATTTTTACTTTTACTACTTACTTTTTTTATTCGTTTATTTATTTAGGGGTGAAATATGACCAATATGTGAGATTACTTTTTACAAGTCTTTGCTCACCTATTTTATAGTTTTAGATTTGTGTGTGTGTGTGTGTGTGTGTGTGTGTGTTAGTTAAAATAATTTTTTGTTGTACCTTTTTTTAGGATATTTTATAAAAAAAAATTTTATGCATATTCAACAGATATCAAGTCAAGTAAAATGTATTTGTATAGCACTTTTCACAACACAGCTTTACAGGAAGTCTTTACTGTTTTGTCTGCGCTTTAGTGATTATACGCAGAGGAAGTTTTTGTGCTGGGCGATATGATGATATACAGTATAATGATGATACAGGTTATCCTCCAGATTTTGAGCACTTGTCCTGTAATCATCTTTTAATACTGCAGTGATTGTGTGTGTGTGTGTGTGTGTGTGTCTGCCACAGATTGAAGCTCTAGACAGCGCCGCTCCGCAGATAGCAGTGCTGGAAACACTGTGGAAAGTGGAGCTCCTCAAAGATGGTCGTTATGGGATCTTCATTTCCTCCAGAGAGCTCAAGGCTCAGGATCTGAACTCAGCAGAAGCTGATCTGATCTATCACATCCTCAGAGCGCCTTACTTTGGATACCTGGAAAATTATACCAGTGGTGAGAGATCTCTCTCTCTGTTTGTCTATGTAGTTAACTGTCTGTCTGTCTGTCTATGTTTCTATCTATCTATCTATCTATCTATCTATCTATCTGTCTGTCTGTGTTTCTGTCTGTCTGTCTTTCTATCTATCTGTCTGTGTTTCTGTCTGTCTATCTTTCTATCTATCTATCTGTCTGTGTTTCTATCTATCTGTCTGTCTGTCTGTCTGTGTTTCTGTCTGTCTGTCTATCTATCTATCTGTCTGTGTGTCTGTCTGTCTGTGTTTCTGTCTGTCTGTCTATCTATCTATGTTTCTATCTATCTGTCTGTCTGTGTTTCTGTCTGTCTGTCTGTCTTTCTATCTATCTATCTATGTTTCTATCTGTCTGTCTGTCTGTGTTTCTGTCTGTCTGTGTTAATGTATTCACATGATGTAAACTCTGTCTGTAGGTGAGTTTGTGAGGCAGCGTTTCTCTCAGAAGGATCTGAACAGAAGGAATATTGTCTACATCATAAACTCTGCTCTGGATGCTTTAACTGACAGTCTGGAGTTTGCTGTTTCTGATGCGCTGGGAAACACCGGAGCCTCTCACAAGTAAACCCTGGACTTTGAAATGTTGCTTTGATTTTGTTTTCTTGCAGAATTTGGGACTGAGTTATTTAATTTCATTAGACCTTATCGTCCATAAATCACCTTTTCTAGTAGCAATAAGTACTTGTGAGTATTTCTTAATGTTTTAATGAAGCGTTACACCTCCACCTATACACTTGGATGGCATGTTGTCTGTGTATGTTAGGATGCGTAATGCTATTCTCTCTGTCAGACTGGAGTTCAGCTGGGCCAGTGTGCAGCTGACCAGGACTGAGTATGTAATATGTGAGAATCAGGGGTCAGTCTCACTGACCATCCAGAGGAAGGGAAATGTGCAGGACTCGTCTTATGTGACTGTACAGGTATAGCTTTATTTGTTATGGTGTATTTGGTTGCTTTTTATTCTTTTGTGAAGAAGAATAAAGGATTTGAATATGCACTTTTCATTTTCCATAGGTGAAAGAACTAACAGCATCTGCTGGAAAAGACTTTATACCGGCTTCATCACTGATTCAGTTTGACCCAGGTCTTTTGTAATCCACCAACATGGGGATTTATTGTGGGAATATAACCTGTTTATACAAATAAACAATGAACTGAGATGTAAAACAGAAGCTAATTCAAAACCTAAATGAATGATGACAGAGCTTCAACGGTGTCTGTTTCCAGGGGTGGTCAGTCGAGTTTGGAAAGTGGAGATTGTTCAGGACTCTTTAGAGGAAGCTGATGAGAAATTTGAGGTTAATTTGGTCTCTCCCGTGGGTGCAGTGCTAAAAGTCAACTCAAAAGCCACCATCTTCATAAAGGACACATATGGTTAGTGCACGTTGTCCAGAAGACCAACATTTAGGTGAACTATTCCTTTAACGAAAAGAGCAAAAATCATACTTTTTCCACAATGATGAAACGTCACAGGTTATGTGTGTAGTAAGATGATTTGTTGGCTGTTTGTAAAGGGCAGTGCAGTGAGAGCCGGTTTAAAGCGGACACTGGTCTTCAGGGCCGAGAGGTGCAGCCGGGGCCGTACCCTCAACACGGCTCCATCCAGGTGGAGACTCTACCTTTCTCTCAGGGCTACATCAGAGGAGACGGTGATATAATAGTTCAAGCTCCCACTGCTACAAAGAAAAGACTCCGAGTCATTGGGAATGGGAAAGTGGTAAGTCAATACAAACTAGTATTACGTTTATACTATTACAGCATTTATTATGATGATGTTGGATTCGATTTTATTTTTTATATTTTCAGTTTTCATTTGAATTTAGTTGGAGTTTTAGAATTTAGTTATGGGCTTTTGACATTTTTATTCCCTTTTAATATTTCTATTTAGCTTTAATTTATTTTCATTTCTGTTTTAGTAATTTTAGTACTTAAGTTATTTGTGTTTGTTATGTTTATTCAATTGAATACAATTTTCATTTTTTTAAGTCTTTCATGTAATATTTATATTTTATTTAATTTCCGCTTCATTCAAGTCAAAACAAGCCATTTTAACCGTTTTAGTTTACAATATTTCATGTAATATGTAAATTAATATATATATATATATATATATATATATTTATTATTATTATTTTTTTCATTGTATTTAATTAATTGAATTTAATTTCAGGTTTACTTCAGTTAACAAAAACAATTTTGAATAGTTGTTGTAGTTCTATATATATAAATATAGCTTTTATTTATATATTTTTAGTTTTCATTTACATTTTTGTTTTAAATTCCACATTTTAGTTGACTTAAGAACTATAACAACTATAATACATTTTATTACAGTCTTAATTTGAGTAAGTTTAACACTTCAGCTTATGTCATTTCAGTTAGTTGCCTAGGCAATATTTATTTATTTTATCTACATTTTATTGCAAATATTGTATTTATACATTTAGAATTATTTTGTATTTATTACAGCTTTATTTTAATTAAACAAAACATTTTTTTTCAGTAGTTTTCATGATAACACGGTGAACTTTCATCCACAGGTTCAGCCTTCTGAAACCGTTCGTCACGGATCTGAAGTCATTTACAAAGTAAGCAGAATAAAAACATAATGGCAGTAAAGCAGCTGGGACTAGACATATCCGTTATGTCCAAAAACATTTTTGATCTTAATTTTTGTTACCATTTGTTATATAAAATCACAAATAATTCCCTTTATTGATATCATATTAATATTACTAATCACTTACAGTACCACGGTATCATATCGATGGCGGTCGAGGAGGACAGCGTAGCCTCTGACAGAAAGGCACAGGTGCAGGTGACCAGCAGGGGACAGCAGCGCCCTCCTCACGACAGGACCGTCCCGCACACTAACACCAGAGCTGCTGCACAGCGTGTTGCGACTCAGGTGAGAGCTGGAAAAGGTCCGATTCATTTACAGCAATATTTAGCAAATAAACCTGCATGTCTGGTGGTATCTCTCCCCAGCCGTCCTCCAAACCCTGCACCCCGGAGCTCACTGGCTTTCTGCATTATAACGACAGCTCGGCTCAGCTGCTCCGCTGTAACGGGGACTCCTGGAGGCCCTGGACCCCGAATAACGAGGTTGTTAACATCGCAGTATTTAAGATTTAGAAGTCATCATGATGACTGGGCCTTCGGTTTCAGCATTTCACAAGATGATTTGAATGCTTTCTGGTCTTTTCTGCGCTCATCCAGACTGTGAAAGCACAGAAGTGTCCTCGAGGATGGACGTATCACAACAACTACTGTTACATACTGAGCGGCGAGCGCAAAGCCACGTGGAGCGCCGCGGCGCGGGCCTGCAGAGAGAGGTCAGACAGAGCAAACGCTAGATAACAAGAACAGGGCCGTAACCACTGTAGACATTGAGTGGGACAAGTCCCCCACAATAATTAGAGATGGCCAAATTGTCCCTCCAATATTTGAAATTCTTGCACTGATTTGCTGCACTCTATTACAATAAGCTCATTTTTCAACTTTAAAAGTAACATTTTTAGGCTGGCCTGCCTCGTCATAGTCAGAAAGATTCAGTGTTCACAGAAGCAGAGCCTGAATTCCCTGCAGAATGTGACGAGCGGTGTTGGGAAATGTTGCTAGTTACGTAATTTAATCACAAAATAAGGTTACACTTTATTTTTGAGGTGTCCTTTGTTACAGTGTAATTATGCATTTAAGTACTGAGTAATATTAATTAACTACATGTACTTACTATATGGTTATGGTTTGGCTTGGGGTTACTTGCATGTAATTATGCATAATGTATTGTTATTATAATAGTAAATATGTAACAAGGACACCTTAAAATAAAGTGTTACTCAAAATAAATGTAACTAATCCATTACTGTTACTGAGGGATGTAACGATTCGCTCAACTCACGATTCGATTTGATTCACATTATATGATTTAAGACAAATTATAAAATTAAATGTGTCCTTTTATTATTGCTTGGACAAAATGCTGCACGTTTCTTTGTGAAATTGAAATATAACACTATAATAATATACTAATATAGCACTTGTATATTGTTGCTCTTTTGTTGGTTTTGATTGCTTCTATTGTCCTCATTTGTTAGTCGCTTTGGATAAAAACGTCTGCTAAATGACTAAATTTAAATATAATGTAAATAACAAAACTAAATTGAAATTTTAAAACAAGCCCCAAATCAAATAAATAAGTAACACAAATAAAAGAAATCTCTTTATATAAACAAAATAAGGCTTTGTCTGTGCTCTTTCCTTTTAAAATGAGAGGCAACCACTGCATTTTAATCACGATCCAAACAAAGATGCTGCATACATGCTACACGAGCAGTTTTTAATCTAAATTAAATTGTATCATTTCGAAATTTGAAGCAAAAACAGAATGGTTTGACTTCAGTTTTGTGAAACTATGCATAAAAATATCTGCATGAAACCGAAACGGCAGACGAGCTGAACGAGATGCAGATTCACTCTCTGCCAGCAGGTGGTGCTTAAACCCTTTCCTTGGTTTCTGCTGTAAACAAAGCAGCGCTGCACTTATGAACTTTAATATGCATTATACAGAGGCAAGATGAGAAAATACCATCTAAACTTTTCTAAAGACAAAGTTCCTCTCAGACATGCATTCATATAAACTCCTACCCCTAAACGAATCGCGATTTGTTCAGCATCTCAACCGATTTGAATCGTCACATATTTGAATCGATTTTCAACCGGCTCGCGGTTAATCGTTACATCCCTACAGTTACTGAGAAAAAAAGTGTAATTAAATTAGTTATGAAAATGTTCTTGATTACAAAGGGGGTTACAGCTGATGGTTACACACAGATTTAATTGATTTCTTTCCCAAATTGCATTGACTGTTCTGAGATATGAGACACCAATATTTCAGGAGTTTAGGACACATGCTTATTCCTTTTATTTAACCGTTTTATTTCCGATTTGGGTTTATGTTTTATTTTTTAAGGTTAACTGCATTTTCCAAAGCATTGTTAGATGTCAGTGTTTCCTGTCATAGCTATGCAAAGATTTGATTTCAAAAACAGTATCATAGCTATTAAACTATATCTTGTTATGATTTTAAATCAGTATTAAGCTCAGATGAATCTCAAAGCAACAAGAGGTGCTAAAGCCCGATTTTGTGGTAGCAGTGCTTTAAAATGAAATTATAATAATCTTAATTCGAGTAAAGAAGGATTAACTCTGCCTGCTTTAAATGTTTGAAAATGTTAACATTTGAAAACATTCATTAGAAATTTTGAAATGTAATCCAAAAGTAATCAAATGTGATCAGTTATATTACTTTAATAAAGTAATTGATTACTGATTACATTTTAAATAGTGTAACTTGTAATCTGTAACCTACAGTATTACATTTCCAAAGTAACCTTCCCAACACTGTTGACGAGACGAGAAATATTTTGCATTTTCAGCATATTACACTCTAAAAAATGCTGGGTTAAATACAACCCAGTGCTGGGTAAAATAGGGACAAACCCAGCAATCGGGTTGTTTTGACCCAGCGGTTTGGTTACTACCCTTAAACATTTAACCCAACCGCTGGGTCAAAACAACCCAATTGCTGGGTGTGTCACTATTTAACCCAGCACTGGGTTGTATTTAACCCAGCATTTTTTAGAGTGTACACATACAAATAATAGTGAATGTGTGCATATTTAAAAATTGTATTTTGCCAGTAATTCAAAAGGATTCATTTCCAATTAGAATTTAAAAAAAAAAATGAAAATTTTAGCCTTGCAGTAATACCACTGGTTATGAGTAACTGTGACTGACTGAATACTTGTTTCCTCAAGCTACAATGGACATCTGGTCAGTGTTTTGTCAAAAGGAGACATGGACTGGCTGTGGGACTTCAGTGACAGAAAACCCTTTTGGATTGGTAACTTCTTTTTCTGAATTTTACGCAGTCAGTGTGATTATAGTGTTTTGAAACATAAGAGTTGATTGAATCTTCAGACAAAATATTTTTAAACTTTAAAAAATTTAAGTTTGCATATGTGCTTTTATGGCTCATATAGTATGATATTAGAAAATATGGAGCTTAAAAAAAGCAGATGATTTTTAAACACTTAGTTTTATGATCAAAGCTCTGTAGTTTTTATCGTGTGGGCAAAACATAATGCAATACAATGCAGTGATGATTGAGAGATGAGCAAATAAACATTCCTGAAAATCATATTTGATGTTAAAATGTAAAAAAAAAAAAAAAAAAAAACGATGTACAGATAATCAAGTCACTTCAGTCCAGTAAGTGTTTATCTTGAAATTTTACAACAACAAAAAAACAAATATATATATATATATTATTTCTTTAATGTTTACTTTATAAAAATGACCATGACCTGAAGGTGGACATTTTCACAATTATACTTTAAAAAGTTGCTAAACTAGTATAAACTACCAGTCAGACGACAGAAGGCATGCAGTAGCAAAGTTATGATCATGTAGATCATTTAGAGGCCTTTGAGTATCAATTATGATACTGTAGGAGGTAATACGCAGGGACCAATTCTCACTATTAACTAGTTGCTTATTAGTATACATATTACTAGCATATTGGCTGTTTATTAGTACTTATAAAGCAGATATGAATGCTTTATTTTTTATTTTAGATCCCTTAATGCTACCCAATACCTAAACTAACTTACTACTAATAAGCAGCAAATAAGGAGTTTATTGAGGCAAAATCGTACTTAAAGGGTTAGTTCACCCAAAAATGAAAATTCTGTCATTAATTACTCACCCTCGTGTTGATCCAAACCCGTAAGACCTTCGTTCATCTTCAGAACACAATTTAAGATATTTTTGATGAAATCTGAAGGCTCTCTGACCCTCCCATAGACAGCAAGGTAACTACCACGTTCAAGGTCCAGAAAAGTATCAAGATGATCGACAAAGTAGTCCGTGTGACATCAGTGGATCAACTGTAAAGTTACGAAGCTACGAGAATACTTTTTTGCGCAAAGAAAACAAAAATAACGACTTTATTCTGCATTTTCATCTCTACTGCGTCACTTTGGACGTGTGTTCACGACAGTATCATGACGCCAGCGATCTGGGTCAGCGCCGGCGCCGCCACACGCTCTCGTCATGATACTGTCGTGAACACACGTCCAAAGTGACGCAGTAGAGATGAAAATGCAGAATAAAGTCGTTATTTTTGTTTTCTGCGCGCAGTCCCCAAACTAAAGTGTGACCAGGTAGGATTTAAAGGGTTAAACATGAACTGGTCGCTCTCTTTGTGTAATGACAGGTCTGAATGATCGTGACAGCAAAGGCCGCTGGGAGTGGGTGAGTGGAGAGCCTGTCACTTACACCAACTGGAGGCGGAGCCCTCCTAAAAACAGGAAGAAGGGAACGAGGAGGTGCATCCTGGTCTGGAAGAAGACGAAATGGCAGATACGAGACTGTAAGAAAGGAAAGGCACACCGCTATGTGTGTCACGTTAAAATGTGAGTTCAGTCACAGCTGCACATAACCTGAGCACATGATATCTCTACTACTTAGTGCACATGGTAATCATGATGTGACCATGCTGGACTGTGGTTTGTTGTCTGCTCATGCACTTCAGACTCGAAACAGAACAGAACAGCCACGTTAACAACTGTTTCCAAGCCCAAGGGTGACATGATCACAAAACATCTGTAACTCCGAGGACTGTCATGTGTTATAATGTATATGTATGCTACTCAATGTTATTTGTATTCTATATGTATTTATTACTGTATGTGCTCTGTATGATATGGGAATGGGGTATTTTAGATTTTTTTCTAGCTATGTTTATATGTATAATTTTTTAGTTAGCATACGTTTTTTCGTATTTAAAAAAACAGTACACGTGACATCTGAAATTGAGGTTCAATCATTTTGATTTGTCTGCAAATTTTTGCTAATAATTGTCAGAGATTGAATATACACCAAATATTCTAGGCTCACAGTTGTTGTAAAAAAAGTAAATCTTAAAAAATAATAAAAAAAATTGTATGCATAGATAGAGCTCTTATAACAAATGTTAATCTAGATTTACTTTGATATGCATTTTTTTAAAAACACTACCATGCAAAAGTTTGAGTTGAGTTTATTCAACATTAAATTGGCAGTAAAGACATTTATAATGTTACAAAATATTTCCATTTCAAATAAATGCTGTTCTCTTTTTATTCACCAAATAATCTTCAAAAATGTTACCATGGTTTCCACAGAAATATTACACACTGCTTCCAAAAATAATGATGATCGGAAATGTTTCTTGAGCATATCTTCAAAAATGTTACCATGGTTTCCACAGAAATATTACACACTGCTTCCAAAATAATGATGATCGGAAATGTTTCTTGAGCATAAAACCAGCATATTAGAATGATTTCTGAAGGATCATGTGACACTGAAGACTGGAGTAATGATGCTGAAAATACAGCTTTGATCACAGCAATAAATGACATTTTACATATTAAAACAGAAAACAGTTATTTCAAATAATAATATTTTATAATAAGAAGAGACTTCTTATAAAAGCATTAAAATCTCACTGAATGGTAGTCTAAACATTCACAAATTGGGCAACCATCATGTTATGCTTAAATAAATCAGTTTATTAAAAGTTCTCAACCAAAATGAACTACAACATTATAAAATAATTTAGAAAGTTAACATTTTACAAATAAAAACACTGTTATCCCATCTTTACATACAAAATAAGGCACTATTCAGTGTGTTCTGCCTAGCAATATACAAAACATCATACAAATAACAACAATGTACAACTTGTCTTGTTCCAAATATGAAAACATATTTAGATGAGCCCAAATAACGTCAAATTCCACTTTTTACTTATAAATGACCAAACAATTTAATCTCCAGTGTCTTCTCTATCATTTTTGTGCACATTGGTCGAAAAACTGACCATGACATGATAAAAGGATGAAAACATTTTTAATTATTGATGAGGGACTAAATAATAAAAAAGAGATATCGTCACACACCTAAACTAACAAAAAAGGCCATCAAACATTAAGCTTAATTGTGCTTTTCAAAAGCAGTTCTTACTAAAGACAGGAATGGTTTCACATTTAGCAGCTTCACCTTCTGAAAATACAGCTCCTTCCTCCACAAACAATCAAAACCAGAAAATCAGAAGCAGTGAACAGAAACACATCCCTCCAAACCAACTAAAGCACTTTATCATATTTAGGGCAAACTGTCATTGGACAATCAGTCGTAGTTTTTGTTAGTTTTGTTAGTCTTAAGTTACATCAAATATCCTTAAGCCTAAAGGAGTGTTTTGGAATTTTGTCTTTTAAGTTACGTAATAGTTCTCTTTTGGCTGAAAAATGTGCAAATGTAAAGTCGGATACTGCCACGCACTGTGTCTGAATGCATACTACACAAACACACATCTTCAGGGGAAGGCCGCTGAGCGTTCACTCACGCAGAGTGCTGTGATAGCGTGAGATCTGCTGTCAGAGAAAGCCATGTTCATCCAGTCCTTTCACTGAAACTGGGTTCCATTTAGCAGTGGGTTTATTACCGGAAGCATGAACTGAAAAACAAACATAAAAATGAACAGCATTATCAGACTAATGGAATTAGGAAAGGGACTCGTACTAAATAGTAATGCTAGAAATGAGTCACCAATGATACAAGACTATGTCTAAATTAAGATAAATAGCAACAGAGTAGTAGGCACTACTAAAAATTACATTAAATTATTCCCAATTTTGCACAATTATGTAACATGACAGTTTTTTGAAAAACTATATAACACTACTACTACTAAAATAAAACACACACACACACACACACACATATATATATATATATATATATATATATATGGATGTGTGTGGATATTATGGATATACATTTCATATTAATGCATGATTGGATTAGATTATGATGGATGTTTATGTATAATTATCTATTTATTAAGTAATTATAAAAAAGTATATACACCCTAAAACAACACACACACACACAAATGTATATAGCCTATATACGAGTACAAAGTATCATTATATGCTTTCACCTTTAAAGGAACACTCCACTATTTTTGAAAATAGGCTCATTTTCCAACTCCCCTAGAGTTAAACAGTTGAGTTTTACCGTTTTCGAGTCCATTCAGCCGATCTCCGGGTCTGGCGGTAGCACTTTTAGCTGTAGCTTAGCATAGATCATTGAATCTGATTAGACCGTTAGCATCTCTCTCAAAAATGACCAAAGAGTTTCGATATTTTTCCTATTTAAAACTTGACTCTTTGCTGCTGTACCATGTGTATAATTCCTAGCCATATTGGCCATATTTCATTTTCTGTCAGTCTTAGTACACGATGTAACTACTACAGAAGAGTCAAGTGTTAAACAGGAAAAATATAGAAACTCTTTGGTCATTTTTGACCGAGATGCTAACGGTCTAATCAGATTCAATGATCTATGCTAAGCTACAGCTAAAAGTGCTACCGCCAGACCCGGAGATCGGCTGAATGGATTCGAAAACGGTAAAACTCAACTATTTAACTCTAGGGGAGTTGGAAAATTAGCCTATTTTCTAAAATAGTGGAGTGTTCCTTTAAGATTTGTACTCATGGAAATGACTAAAGTAGTCAAACCTGTTCATTAGAAGGGGGTGGCCCAATACTTTTGCCAATATAGTGTGTATTTATTTAGTTATTGCAAGTGACTTCATCAACTATAAAACGATGCCAATTTATCGTATTAACTGCTACATTAAGAAAGCTGTCCATGTGTTAGAGTGTGATGTTACCTGGCAGCGCTGTGGCTCTGCTGTGCGTTTCTGAAGGAGCCGGTGACAGTCTTTCCCCGTAATCACTTTCACCAGACGAGGTGTGATCTCCGGCTCTAGAGTCTGCCATCACATACAGAGCAGGTCTCTTTTTATGGTACTTGGCACGGTACGTGTCCGTCATGCAGCTGTCCACGGAGAAGTACGTGCTGGGGATGACAGCAGAGCCGGCCGCAGGTTTGGGAAACCTGGAGAACTTCTCCTCACCCTCACTCGCAGACAGCTCGTTCCTCTCCTGATCAGAGGAGCCAGACTTGGAGCTCGTGTCAGAGTTTTCCATCCACTTCTGCAGGACGGTTTGGGACAGAGCCGAGCCGTTTCGAAGAAGACGTCGAGGGCTGGGTGGACGGGGATCTCGTCGCCGGTTCTCTGAGCTCAGGATGAGAGGTTTGGGAGGCACTGATAGAGCCGCGGCACGAGAGGGAACCGGAGGAACGTCAGCTCGTGATGAGGAATCCTCCTGCTCGGAAAAGGGTCCGGCAAGATCATCGGAGCTGTTCCACTCTGAATTGCAGGTCTTGGTGAAATTAGGAGAGATGGGGTTCCCGTTTACCACGTGTGCTCGTTCTACCTCAGTCTTCTCCATCCTCTCCTTCGCAGGGTTGTATCGAAAAGCTTGTTTCCTGTAGGAGAAAACAGAAGGCTTGTCTTGTATCTACCTCACACTTGCCCATATTACCTTTAAAAAGAACTGGTTACACTTTATTTTAAGGTGTGTAATAATACATTCAAGTACTGAGTAATAATAATTAACTACATGTGTACATATTATATAGTTAGGGTTTGGCTTAGGGTTACTTGCATGTAAGTATGCATAATTTATTGATATTATAATAGTAAGTACATGTAACGTGTAACAAGGACACCTTAAAATAAAGTGTTAAAGAACTTTATAACTTTAAAAAGAAGTGCACTTGAGAGTGCACTTGACTGTGTAGTTGTAGTGTAAATCTTACAAGATTAAAAAGGTACTTGCAGATAATACAATATTAATGAAATTAAAGGCCACTTGCGTGTATTTAAAGAGAAACACTTTAATGTTTAACACACTTAAGTACACTTTAAAAAGTGTGCTTTTATTTTACAAGTACATTAAAACATGACAAAAATGAGTAAAATTACCATGATTTATAAAGTAGTACACTTTTTTGATGTTGACTACCATACTAAAGAAACAACTTGAACTGTAGTGTTATTTGATATTACATTTCAAATTGATACATTTTAAATAATATATTTTTAGTTATTCTGAATGTACTAAATTGCTACTTCATTATAAATGTCTAATTAAATATTGAAATGCACGACACAATAGAAGTTTCAATAGAAATGACATTGAAGTGTATTTTCGTTCTCTGTAAATGCTTGTCAGTGCAACATTCAGCGGTACTTTAACCACATTTCAAAGACAGTAGAAGCAATTATGAAATTACATATAAAGATGTACTTAAGAGGGTGAAAAAAAGCACTCCGAAGGTCAGCTAATTGCATTTAATATGAATTTCAGCTAGAATACATTTTCAATTTATTGCAATCAACATACAGTTGTGTCTGAAAACATTCCATTCAAACTTACTGTAAGCTATTATTAACATTTTAATTACTATTATTTCCATAAGTATTATTTTTAAAAGTATTTGTATCAAAACATTTATGACCTGAGCCACTTTCTTTCTTTCTATACACATTTTCAGGTTTTATGCATGTGAATATTTCTGCATATGGAAAGCACACAAAAAATTGCAAGTAAAACATTCAAAGTCTCATGCATTAATTTTTTCGCCCAAATAATATACATACCTTGGAATAACAGGACTCATGAAATGATCATGTGTTTTCTTTTGGTGGTCACCTACAAAACAAATGAATAAAAATATTCATCTTTAATGTACCGTTGCATGCATTCTTTAATGTATATGTATTATTAATAAAATACATATACATAAAATATTTCTGCACTGAAAAGCAGTGTGAAAGACTGAATCTCTGGACACAGACTGAGGCCGTGGACGAGTGCAGTGTTATGTAAGGGTTCGGGGCCGTGGGTATTGTCTGGGTCTCAGTGGGGTCTCTGGCTCCAGCTCTTGGCCTGTCTAAAGCACACAAGTCCAGAGAGAAGGGGCCCAGACTGGGCCATCCGGCTCAAACCAGCTTCTCTGTGCTGCCGATGGCTTGTTAACAATGAGCTCGAGGGTTAAACGCGATCATAAAAGTGGCCGTGCCATGCCAAGTGGGCAGTGAGTCTAATGAGAAAACAGCAATGCTTTCGATGTGTTGCTGTAGAGACCAAACCTTTAAATCTGAGGAGCTGTCAGGTGGACTGTGGGACGTATGTCTACACAGATGCATGCTGGGAACACATTCACACACAACGGACTGCTGTGCTAAAAACCTCACAACAACAATCTGCATCAGTGCGGTTTTCCAGTGACATATTAGCTGCTTAGTAAAGGAAATCAAAAATGTAATTAGTGGATTTCAGTATATAAATCTATAAAATACACTATAATGCTAGTGTACTTCTAAAAGTTGATTAAACAATAAAAAGAAAACTTTTCTTCTAAAATAGAAAAAATACTGATGACATTATTTACGGCTCACAGAAGTACATAAACAAATGTTTAATGTGCTCTCTCTTTATTAAAATGAATGTGTCACTCAGTATTACTAAATAAACATTTCTGAATTCATGCATACATAGAGAGAAATCAACGAGAATGTCTCTTACTAAAAAGATTTCAAGATATACATTTGAATACAAGATATATATTTTAATATAATTAGGATCTCTCTCTCGCTCGCTCACTCTATACACACACACGCACACGCACGCACACACAAACAAACAATAAATATAAAGTATATCTTAATATTTCCCAATCCGAATTCATATTTATACAGGTAATATGTTAAAAAATGTACACTAGAGGGCGCTAAAGATGAACGCTTCACTTTACTAAGTCTGTCATGAGGATTTAAGATTTGTTTTGCTGTAAAAGTTCAGTGAGCCATACTTTGAATGCAACTAACAACACTAACAAAAAAAACCTGAACCAATACATATCAATTTACATGCACAATTTTAATGTAAAACAAACATCATAATTAACAGAGTGCAACGGAATACAACACTCAGCTTCTTAATTAGTACTACACTTCCTTGGCATCATGGGATTGTCGGTTCATCTTTACATCTTAGTACAGTCACTGCCTCGATATCAAGCCCCCTGAGACTCGCCAGCAGTGTGTGTGTGTGTGTGAGCGAGTGATGTATCCACACACACTGCCTTTCCCTCCTTCTGTTATTTTTTTCCCCAGCGCATTAACAGCTAAATCCCTTTGGCTAGCATGCAATTATGAGAGGATTGGACTTTAGACCCCATTTTCTGGTTTTTCAAGCCTGTCGTGTTTAAGCTGCTAAGCCTCATGAGAAGAACCTCCATTTGATGGCCATGACTTGCAATATTGGATAACGTTGTTGCAATATTGATAAAGATAGAAATAAAATACTGGCGCAGCCAGAAGAAACCACCACACGGCGAGTCCCTCCACTGACGCAAGTTTAGGAGTTTTTTTTTTATCCAAGGTTTAATCTACCACAAAGCAAATATTATAAATTCACAACATTACAATCAGGTCCATCATCTGTTTTCAAGACGCTGTGTGATTTGAGACATCATTCATGCCCACAAATACAGTGTAATATTCTGGTTGAAAAAATACAATTCAGTACATCAGCTAGTGCCATAAAGTTTTTATTTGAGCAGTTTTTATATAACATATGATCATATTTATTAAGATTTTGAATTAGCTTTTATTTTTATATAATTATCTGAAAAATTATTATCAGAACTCAACCCAAAACTAAAATCATTAAAAAGTTTCTTAACTTAAGTAAATAAATAAATATATTAAATATATCTGATTTTAACTGACTTAAAATTTTTTTTAATAAAAACTATACAGACGTATTAAAAAAAAAATATATATATATATATATATATATATATATATATATATATAGTGTCTTATTGGTAAACAACTATTTGAGTTTAAGTTTTAGTATATTTGTAACTGTATATATATTTATTTTAATTACTGTTTTAGTCAACTTAAACTTATTCTTATTAACTTATTATTTCAGTTTCAGCCAAGGCACCGTTTCTACTTTTCATTACAGTTTTTAACCTAATGCTTGCATTTGATTTTTTTCAGCTTTATTTCAATTACGAAAAAGAACTTTTTAACACAGTAACACAACATAAAACTGCACATTTGAAAATATAAATTAGATTATCCCCAGCTGGTGCCATAAAATAATTGTTTAATTTTTATGTTTATTTTAAAAGCATTTCCTGACTCATAATCATTATTTAAAAGCATCGCCTGATTCACAATTATTCAGTTAATATTCATGTTCCCTAAAGCGCTAGACGATGCATCCTGACACGTGAAGAAATGAGCTCACAGACGGCTGTCACATGTGCAGACGGACCCCGATCAGACTGACAGCCGTACATCAACACTCGACATCTGAGATCACTGGCAGCTCAGCAGAGAGCAACACACACCTGCTCTCTACACGCCACTGAATCAAGCAAGCCCAAAACAATGCAGATGGGCTTGAAGGCATAGCTGCTACATACACTACATTATCTTATAAGGAGTGCATACTTATTTGCATTACAGCTAAATTAATCTTTACATTCACCTCTGAAAGGGAGGCAATTACTTGCCATGTAATACATGCAAATATACATACGGATAGATATGCATCACATCAGACAAGACTGAACTGGATCTGTCGACCTGCTGAAAATAGTTACTGATGTCTAAGAATAAATATGTTCCACAGTGCAACAGGATCTCGGAGAACGTCTCTTCATGCTTTTAATGTGCTTTACAGGAAATAACACACTCCAAACTCCCAACTACATTCATACTTTCACACTTACTGGGCCAAACGCTAAAATAAGAAGGAAATATCAGCATTTACAATATTCTGCTGCTGTTTGGTCTCTATGGTTGGTTGGTTTTAAATTTCAATTTCAATTGCAATTTCATTTTGGACTTGGTTCAGTGGTAAATAAAATGCAGCATCAGTTTTAACCAGCTGCAATTCAGTATGAAAATCTCTGCCAGTTTCGGTTTCATTTTCAAGTTTTTCTTAATTTTATAAAATTTTAAATTTCAGCTTTATTTAAATGACGGAAAAATTTACATTTTAATAACCACACTGCATAAAATTGCACTTTTACTTAAAATAAAAATAGATATTAATAAATTCAAATTTAAATTAAATAAATGGTAATATACATATTTAAAAAAAATAAACATTATTATATTAATAAACTCAAAGTTAATAAATGGTAACATACATATGAAAAAAATATATATTATATTAATAAATTCAAATTATAAAGTAAATAAATGGTAATATACATATAATTTTTATTTTTTAAATATTAATAAATTCAAATTTAAAGTTAATAAATGTTAATATACATATATAAAAAATATTATATTAATAAATCCAAATTATAAAGTAAATAAATAATAATATACATATTTAAAAATAAAAATTATTGTATTAATAAATTCAAATTGAAAGTTAATAAATGTTAATATACATATTTAAAAAATATATCATATTAATAAATTCAAATTATAAAGTAAATAAATGGTAATATACATATAATTTTTATTTTTTAAATATTAATAAATTCAAATTTAAAGTTAATAAATGTTAATATACATTTAAATAATAAAAATTATTATATTAATAAATTCAAATTATAAAGTAAATAAATGTGAATATACATACTTAAAAATAAAAATTATTGTATTAATAAATTCAAATTTAAAGTTAATAAATGTTAATATACATATTTAAAAAAAAAATTTTATATTAATAAATTCAAATTTAAAGTTAATAAATGGTAATATACATATTTAAAAAATATATAATATTAATACATTCAAATTTAAAGTTAATAAATGTTAATATACATATTTAAAAAATATATAATATTAATTCAAATTATAAAGTAAATAAATGGTAATATACATATTTAAAAATAAAAATTATTGTATTAATAAATTCAAATTGAAAGTTAATAAATGTTAATATACATATTTAAAAAATATATCATATTAATAAATTCAAATTATAAAGTAAATAAATGGTAATATACATATAATTTTTATTTTTTAAATATTAATAAATTCAAATTTAAAGTTAATAAATGTTAATATACATATATAAAAAATATTATATTAATAAATCCAAATTATAAAGTAAATAAATAATAATATACATATTTAAAAATAAAAATTATTGTATTAATAAATTCAAATTGAAAGTTAATAAATGTTAATATACATATTTAAAAAATATATCATATTAATAAATTCAAATTATAAAGTAAATAAATGGTAATATACATATTTAAAAATAAAAATTATTATATTAATAAATTCAAATTTAAAGTAAATAAATGGTAATATACATATTTTAAAAATAAACATTATTATATTAATAAATTCAAAGTTAATAAATGTTAATATACATATTATATTATAATAATACAATCAAATTTAAAGTTAATAAATGTTAATATACATATTTAAAAAATATATTATATTAATAAATTCAAATTATAAAGTAAATAAATGGTAATATACATATTTAAAAATAAAAATTATTATATTAATAAAATCAAATTTAAAGTAAATAAATGGTAATATACATATTTTAAAAAATTAAAATTATTATATTAATAAATTTAAATTTAAAGTAAATAAATGGTAACATACATATTTTAAATAAACAAATAAATAAATAAGTAGGTAGGTACAAACATGTTTTGTTGAGTTTTGTTTGTCTACAGACTGAAACACAAATGCTGTAAGGATGCAGACAAAGAACAGCAAGTCCATTTAAATCCAAAGAGTCCAAACAGCGGCAGATCAACGGTCAACACGCTGAACTTTCAGAAACTCCTGCTGCTCTGACCTTTACGAGCATCTTAGGGCTCAGCACTGATAATGAACAACACACTCCAGAGACAATCAGACGGAGCAGAGAATACACATCCTGCCTAACAGCGCTGTTCTGATCAAACAGAAAGCCTGGGTTGTTAACATGGCATTTGTCTTTTCCTTCCTTGGCAATATGAACACAGGAACAGCAGCCGGAAAATTCTCGACATTAAAAATTTATGAATTTAAATGCTTTAAATTAATTCCAAGTCCCATCCGCAAAAACAATTATTTATTTATTTATTTTTATTATTATTTTATTTTTTTGCAATTACTTTTATCCAGCTGGTGTAAAGGTGATTTTAGTGGATGCAAGTCAGTTCTCCTCAAGTTCACACACTCTGAAAAATGTGGTGAGGATTTTCACTCACAAATTAGAAACGGCAGGCAACACTGAATTAAACACTATTTCTGTCTTTTTTTCTTCAAAATGTTGCATTTCTTGCAAAACATTATCACATTATCTATGTATGTTTGACAACTAGAAAGTGTCCAAATATGTTGTGAACAATATATCTATTGCTGTATAATTAAAAACTAACTTAGGTGTTACATTTTTAATCCGCTGCCATTTAATGCCTGTTCACACTCCTACCCTCAGGACGGAGGTACAGGAGCGTAGATTGCAGGACTTCCAGATTAAGGAACTCCTTCTTCCCCTCAGCTATTAGACACTTAAACAGGTAGCTAGCTAGTGGACTTATCTATCTCATAGAACAGTCGGTCCAAATTGTTCATCTCATTTGAACATTTGTAATGGTATTGCTGTTATTACTACCATTGTATTTGTGTTAATATACTCATGTAGCCTCATCTCAACTTGCACATCTGTTACTGCTGCTATTGTTATCATGTAGTTGCACTCAATTTGCACGTTACTGCACTATTGTTTTTTGCACATAAGTTAATACTGTACATTCGCATATTTAGATACCCTATACATAGTCTATATTTCTACTCTATACTCGCATGTATAGATACCAGTCTACTGTATATTTCTATTTTTTTCAGTCTATATTCCTACTACTGCAGCATAGTTTTTATTATTAGGTTTCTTACATCGTGTATGTATGTGTGTATAGTTTGTGTATGTGTATAGTTTTGCACTGTCTTGGCATTCATTGTGGACAGCAAAGTAAGAATTTCATTGCTCAGGGAAACTTGTTTTCCTCACTGGGCATATGACAATAAACGCTTTGAATCCTTTGAATCCTGAATCCTAATCCAGCAATAAACTGGATAGGGGAAGTCGTGGCCTAATGGTTAGAGAGTCGGTCTCGTAACCCAAAGATTGCGGGTTCGAGTCTTGTACCGGCAGGGATTGTAGGTGGGGGGAGTGAATGTACAGCGTTCTCTCCCACCTTCAATACCACGACTGAGGTGCCCTTGAGCATAAATGGCTGCCCACTGCTCCGGGTGTGTGTGTTCACTGCTGTGTGTGCGCACTAAGGATGGGTTAAATGCAGAGCACTAATTCCTAGTATGGGTAACCATACTTGGCCACACAATAATGCATATTTACACACACACATATACACACACTGAAATAATAAATCATTATAATTATTAAATAATATATATATTTTTTTAATTTTCGTAATTTATTATTTTGTATTTTAATTTCTTTCTTTTTTTCCTCTCTGCTTTTCAGAATGATTTCTGCTCTATTGGCTACTGGAATCAGGCCAGTTTGAAAGGCAACACTCAGCACTTTTGAACCAATTTCCATTTGGAAAGAACTGTCAATATAATATTAAACTGCTACTGGATATAAAATGTGACTGAATACTGCAGCAAAAAAATAAAAAATAAAATAAAATAAATTAATTAATAAAAAATAAAATTAAATAATAAAAATTAAAAATGACACTATTATATATATGATGTTTATATCCAAATTAATGTGTCCTCTCTCTCTCTCATATATATATATATATACAGTGGGTACGGAAAGTATTCAGACCCTCTGCAAAAATGTCAACAATTCTGTGTTTTTCTGTCAATATGGGGTGGTGTGTGTACATTAATGAGGAAAAAAAATGAACTTAAATGATTTTAGCAAATGGCTGCAATATAACAAAGAGTGAAAAATTTAAGGGGGTCTGAATACTTTCCGTACCCACTGTATATACACATACATATATACATACATACACACACACACACACACACACACACACTGTATCTATACAGACACACACACACATTAATTTGGATATAAACATCCAGCATTCCTCCCTGTCTAACTCCTCCCCACTCATTTAATGTTAAAGGAACGCAGAGCCATTATTTCCCACAGCGACAAACACTTCAGAGCTTGCGCCGCAGTGAAAACAGCCTTTAAGGCTTGTGCGAGAACACAGCCCTCAGAGCTGTCCTTTCTGCTTCACTTCTTCAGCCCATAAAGCACCTAGAGCTGGGGTAAACAGACCATCACAACACACTCACACATACACAATCAGCTCCCAGCGCTGACGAGCAGGACAAATGATTCGTCCCCAAACACCACCCCATGAGCTCCTTCACCTGGAGCGCTGCGCTGATAACAGCCACACTGCCAGATCACTTATTTATATCACACTATAGGATTCCTTGATATTTTGAATAATATTTTGAATAATATTTTCAGTGTATTATAATTCAGTTTATTATATTTATAATTTTGATTACTTCAGTTAATTTTAGTTGTTAAACTTAATTTTAACTTTAGTCATTTAAAGTGTTTTTTTAGTAATATTTCTATTTAGGTTTCATTTATATTTCAGTGTTAGTGAAGATTTTTTAAAGTAAAAATTTGTCATTTAATATTTATATAATATATATTATTTCAATCTGTCAAAGGGTGACAGGCTGACAAAATACACACCTGGCAACCCTTTTCCGACCCTCAACTCCATAATAATTGAAATCTTGTATTATGCTTTCAGTTTAACAACATGCTAACATCAAACATTGTTTACAACATGCTAACATTCAAAAACCAGTCACTACTTGTCAGTTTGTTATTGTTAACTCAAACTATTAAAAACCATTTCCAGTAACTGAAATAAAATATATTGATAGAAAAATAAATAAATAAATATCTAAATAGAACACACACACACTGACACTACACACACACACACACACACACACACGAAAAAGACAAAAGCACATACAATTACTAAAACTTAAAACTAAAATTCAAATGAAAACTGAAAATAGAAAAATAGAAGTTTTCAAAACATTAATAAACACTATAATAGTACATAATTAATGCTAAAATAACACTGCTCCGTGGCCGCGGTTCTATGGAAGTTAATATGCTGCCTATATAGGAAAGAGCGAAATAGGCAACTGTCTACAAGCTATGCAAATAATGTTTTGGTAATGTCTGATATCCATTAACAAAAAAAATCACAAGCACTTACTGTAGATAATGGACGAAGGTGAGATCTCGGCCTTTAAATCCTCGTACCTCTTTTGGTAGTTAGGCTCCCTAAAAATACACAATGCATTGTACTCAATAGTGTTCTTAAGCAGTTGCGCTGTACTTGATTGTGGTCACAGTGGATTCTGTGCTCCCTTCACAAACATATGAATGTGGGAGAACACATTTTTTCATATTTCACCACGTCATTTAACGTTCACAACTTGATGAATTTGTGAAATCAAAAGAAATGCCACAGATTGACCACCACACACAGTCGGTGTTGTCAAGTCAAAAACTTGGTAAGTTTAAAGTATTGCAAACTTCACGTAAGTACATACTTAATCCCACTTAAATTTCAGGAAAGAACAGCTGCATAAAGAGTGTGACGCCGCTTTAGTCAGTCTACATTAGATCTTTCCAAGCCTAACCTTTCTAAGATATAACAGTTCAATAGTATGACGTAAACACCTCCACCTAACATTACTGTGACATGATGTACTCTGATTCACAATCACAACATGATATGAACAGCTACAGATGAATCTGAGACCATATCTGACAAAGAAAAACATTCAGATGGTACTGAAAAAGCACTCTTCGCTTACACAGAAGTCAAGTCTTGCCTGATGTTTACTCTGTTTAAAAACAAAACAAAAAGTATAATTCATAAAGCACACACACAAATATTTGTTTTTGAAATAAGTCTCTTATGCTTCCAAGGCTGCATTTATTTGATCAAAAAATAAATAATTTCATAATTTAAATAATGTATAATTTAGTTTTCTATTTGAATATATTGTAAAATGTAAATTTATTTCTGTGAGGTATATATATATATATATATATATATATATATATATATATATTAGTGCTGTCAATCCATAAAAAAAATTAACTAATCACACATTTTTCTGAAATTAATCGCGATTAATCCCACCTAATATTAAAGTTTTTAAATATACTTTTATATTGCAATAATTTCACATTCAATCTTCAAATTAATGTACAAACAACAAAGACAGTATATTTTTAAATATTTGTTTAATGGCATCTTTTTTATGAATGAAGGCCAGTATCAAAGATACTAATATTGATTTCTTTATAAAATTGCCCCCCCCCCCATATTTAACCATTGCCTATAGCCATTCAACATTA